GAATGTTGTTCAGAGGTGTTTTGACGAGAGGCTGTTGTTTAATGTTTACAACCAGGGGCAGGCCTTATTGTTTTTAATAAACCTCAACCTTTTATTATTGTCTTGTGTGCGTATCGTCTACCACACAGCCTCAACAACTATTGCAACTAATAATATTAATAATAATGATAATAATAACAACACATAATTAGCCTAATACTGTTTAAGAACAGCGTGTTTGAAGCATTTCTGCTGTGTATGACTCCACCACGTTAAAATATTTCTCAAATGGCACTGCCCCCCTGCTGGTGACCCACGCCCCTCCAGTAGATGTGCTCTGACGCACACTCTGATAAAATGAAAGTGTGTCCAAACTTTTGGCTGGTAGAGTAAGTGTTATTCCTTTGTTCAGGATCAGGCTCCTCTGAAAGCTCTCCACTTCTTTCTGGTTCCTTATCTGAGTTTGAGAACACAAACCAAGGTAAGAAACACTGGAACTAAGCCAAGGACTCAAATGTACACACGACCAAACTGACACAGCCAAGTCTAAACACGTGTCCCATGGGCACATTACATCCTACTGGTTGTCATCAGGGACACGATGCAAAAGGAGAATGTAAAACACCACCAGAGGACAGTGTTAACCCCAATACAAAATAACCACATTTAATCATCAAAAGAAAATAATCAAATACTATAAAATGCCATAAATATTACTACTTTGCAGCTGATGACATCAACATTCTCTGGGTATGTGTTGCTAACTGGAAGCACTGCTCTGTCTGAAGCTCTGTTCCTACTCAAGTGAGATGTTTTTTGTGTTTTATCAGTGTTTTATCAGTTTCGACGAGTGCAGTAGAAAAGTTAGTGACAGTAGCAGCTAACGTGATGAAGACGATGTGAGGTCAGGAGTCTGGATAACTCCATCTCTTGAGCTAGATCCCAGTCTAAATACAATTTTTATATAACGCTACTTTTTTAACCACAGATCATTATTGTTTGTGTAGACTAGAGTGTTGACTGTTGAGCTGAGACAAAAGTGCAGTCATGTTTGTTATTGTATTAAGGCACCGCCTTAATACAATAATTTAACGCAACGTGCCTTAAATCAATAACGTAACGTAATACAAAGCACAACTTTTAACAACAGCTAACGTTAGATAACCAACCTAAACTTGTGTTGTTTTTCCCCAGATGACATCAGGAGCCCCTGTCCTTCTGCTGAGTGTCCCCATCAGGAGCCCGGCACGCTGATCAGAAGTAAGTACTTTTAATGATTTCTGTGACAGTGAAGATTAGTTTAGAGTCAGATCTGACTTTGTCTCTAACTTTCTGTTATGGGACTTGAGCCGGTGCTTCAGACTTTCAGTGAGAGATGTTGACATGAACACTAATGTGTCACATCTAAATGACACTGATATTGACTATGAACACCATCATAAGTTGATTATTATATTTTAAATATTGTGGTAAAAGTAAATGTAGTAGAGTATTGTGTATTAACAGCAGTGAAATACGTCTCAATCTCATACTCAGGCTTATACTAAAACAAATGAGTTCAGTTTTACTGCACTAAAGTATTTCCGATGAGTTAAATAATGTTTTTCATCTCTGTTTCAGAATATACTATGGTTAATAAGAAGATGGACATAAGGACATGATAAAGACCCTCTGGAGGTAAATACTGCACTTGGATTAAACACTGTGGCCTCTGTGTTTAATTTGGCCCTCTGCTGGGCCAAATTCCAAAAATGTAGAGGCAGACCCTGTGTAAGTTTACTGTATTATCCTACTTTTATTAACTTTCATAACTAAACATATGCACATTATAATCACACCTGTTGTTGTGCAGATTGTTTCTTTCAGAACATGCTGTGGTGGAGTTTACAGACTGACCCTCTGTAAGTGCACAGATTTCTCCGATCAAGTGTTTACCTTTCATGTTCAAATCACACAGCCACTGTCATGACTTACAATGTTCTTCACAAAACCTGAACTCTAACTCCTTACAAGAATAAGAGGTGTAATGGGGTGTTTAACACACACTGGTGTCATTTCAGATGCTGTGAGAAAGGGGGAAGCCCAGAGCTGGACACTGACAGACTGGATCTTCACCAGTCGGACTGAAGAGGAGCCAGACTCACTACACCTCTGCCTCAAAAACCTCTGCCTCAGACTGAAGCTAAAGACAGAGGCTCTGAAGCTCCCACACTGCACACTCTATAAGAACAACCATCCATCTAATTGTTCTGTGGTGGTAAACACAAGTTCAGTTGTAGTTTTAACAGTATGGTATGTGGCTACACTCAGTCTCATCTGTCCAGGCTTTTACTCATATAGCTTATATTTGTTTTTTGCTATTAAAAAAAATAAATAAATAAAACTTTGCTTAACTTGAACAATTTTTAGTAAAAACTGTAAATTTTCGTTTTCATATTAAGAATGAAGCATTGGTTAACTTATAAGTCCTATACCATTAATAATAATTACTCATGTCCTAAGATTTTCAATTAATGATTTAAATAAACATTGTTTAGTGATAGGATATCACTGATCCAACTTTGAAATTGTTTAAATTCATGTTTTTAAATTTAAGCCTTTATATCCTAGTTTTAATACTTGCTGTAAAAGTTTTATGTACAATTGCAATGCAAATGCTGCTGGTGTGTATTTAGATCAGTAGGAAGTGGAGTGTGTACACTGCCGGTGTACATTGTCAGAGCAGGTAAAACGGAAGTCTAGGGCTAAAGACGACACAGCAGCTCTCAGGGAGAAGCCAACTTCAGCTCAACAAGAAGATTAAGAAATTCTACAGTTTTACTTTCCTTTATTTTTAATATTGAAATCACATTTTTCAGAATTTCTTTTTGGTATATTGGAGATTTTTTGTTTTTTTCAAATGTCAGGAAATACAACAATTATTTTTATCCAGCCTTCGGTGACTGAAGGTGAGAGAGCTCAGTTGTTTAATATTCCACACAAGTGAAAGAGGGGAATTTACTTCTATGGGGAATTAACCACTAACTCATCATGTATTTAGATCACCATAGTCCTTTTATTGTTTAAAAAATTCTGTATTTGCTGAAAATAACGTATTAAAATGTGAAACAACTTTCAGTTTCATTTTGAGTCAGAGTCCCCCCTCTGTATGTTCTCCACATTGTGTCAGTAATCCTACAACAGGCATGTATCTCACTAATAAAACTCTGCACATTGTATCAGGTTTGTGAAGTTGTGATGTATTATTTTGTATCCTGTTTTTATATATTTATGAAAAATGACTGTGTGGGAGCATGGGCGGCTTAGGCTTGTGAGCAGTATCATTCTAACTGTAAGGAGGGTTTTAATGAGGAAACATTTTAACATGGCTCAAACTCCAAAAATAATGCATAAGACCCCCTCTTTAAATGTACCAAAGCAGAAGTATGTAAGTGTGTTTATTTCTCTGATCAGGACCAGTTTCTTCTGAAGGAACTCCACTTCTTCCTGGCTCCACACCTGAGTCTAAAGGTAAGAAACACTGAAACTGAGCCAGGACTACAATGAAACCAGGACTAAACAAGGACAAAGCCAAGTCTAAATCAGGTCTGAAATAAAAGTGGAATATTTTAAGCTAAAGATGAAGCACAACTGTGAGCTGATCTCTGTGAAAAGTGCTCTAAAGAAATGTTACTTATAGTCACCTTTAAACAGTAAACTGTTGTAATACAGTGAGGGACGTGTGTGTGGGGGTCATCGTGGTGGTGACTGTGAGGTCGGGTCCTCTGGGTGCAGGTCTGCAGTCTGACTCTTCTGCAGTGTGGGACAGTGAGTGAAAAACACCACCAGATGGCGATGTTAACACCAATACAAAATGACCACATTTAAAACAGTGAATAATGACGAGAAAAGAATCAAAGAGAATAAAATCAGTGTCCTCATGTCAGGGTTTCAGTGGCTTTACATTTATAGATTCAGTAAAAAAAAAAAAAGGCCAGTGGGCTGAAACACATTGGGGCTCAAGATATTTTAACATCCAAGAGAGTACCTTGTTTTTTGTACTTTTTGTCCCTTGACCAAAGAGCACCTCTTTTTTGTTCTGCTTTCCTTTTGTCCCTTTTTCACACCATAGTTCAAATGTTTGGACACACTTTCTCATGTTTGTTTCTTCTTCATTTTCATGATTATTTACACCTTAGATTCTGACTGAAAGCATCAGAACTATGAATGAACTCATGTGTGAAGGAAACAAAGATAAACACAAAACCTTTAGATTAAAGACCAAAATAGTCACCCTTTACTTCAGTCACTGCTTCACACACTCTTTGTATGTGTTGACCCTGACAAGAAGCTGAAGGGTTTGCAATTCTGTTGACAATACAAAGGGTTAATTCCCTTTTTTTCTTTGCTACATAATTCCATATATGTTGTGCCACATATTTGATGCCTTCTGTTTGTATTTAAGCAGTAAACTTAAGGAAAAAAGACACTGAATGAGAAGGACTGTCCAAACTTTTGTCTGTGATGTACATGTCTGATATTGAGAGGAATCCAAAAGTTGTTTTCTGTCAGTTTGTTCTAAAACCTGCTCTCCTCTTGTGCAGACTGCTCCTGTGCAGACTGCTGTGTGGTCTGCTGTGGCTGTGTGAGCCTCATCGTTCTGAGCATCCTGGAGATCTTGTGTTGTCCCTTCACTTTCCTCTGTTCACTCTGTGATAATCACTAGGGTCAGTCTACCGGCCCCTCAAGGAGAATGCATGTTTTAAGGTATTTTTGAGCAATACAAATATCTGTAATTTACCTAAAAGTGCACTGTGTAACTTTTTGTTAGGCGTATGTCACCTGCTTATTGGAGGCCTTGCAGCGTAGCGTTGTCTGTCTGTACTAACATTTGTTTCCTGTTACCCAGGGAAAAGGAAGAGACAAAACAGTATTGAGGACATACTCCAATACTTGAAGAAGGCAGATACAAGGGCAGAGGAGAGGGAAGCTGAGGCAAATGCGAGAGCAGAGGAGCGGGATGACCGGTTGCTGCAGCAGTCCAACACTGTGCTGATGGGGCTGATGGAAAATGACACACACACAGTTTCACTCCACATAATGTACCTATCTGGAACAACAGATGTATTCTTTCCAAAAGAAAATCTATCTATTATGAGGACTGGGTGAGAAAGGGGATTTGGTCCATTTCACATTTAACAGATTCTAAAGGGAACCTTATGAAGAAATATAATTTACAATGCTCAAAACAGCAATATCATACAGTCATCAAAGCTCTCCCATTAGAATTGTTAAATCTAGTTGTGGCATGTTGAGATATGATAAAAATTACACCAAATTCCCTTTACTCACCATAGATGAATTTGAATTTAAAGACAAAAACTGCTCAAATAAAATAATAAGGAACATTATTACTACCAAATTGTGTCCTCTCCCATTAAAAAGAATCCATGTACTTAAAGAGTTTCCAGTTAATATCATTGAAAATTTTTAAAAATTAGAACAAATTATTTCTCATTTCCAATCTCCCCTAAAGCCAAAGAAACTCACTTTAAAATTTTAAATGATATTTACCCCTGTACAATTCTTGAAAAAAACATTTTAATATGGAGACCAATAACTGCACCTTTTGTAACAGTGAAATAGAAACTGTTGAACATTTGTTCTTTTATTGGAGCCGTATTAGAACGTTTTGGGACTCATTCCAAATGTGGATGGTGGAATATGACACAGATTTACCAAATGTAACTTATAAAGATATAAAATACAGAATAATTTTGGAAGACAACAAAAAACTGTTCTATAATTCTTGTTTATTACTAGCCAAACAATAAAACCCTTGTTCAAAATATATCGTCATGATTTTTTGCAATTTAATCCTCACGTCACATTAAAGGTTGTATGGAGGATTTTTTTTTGTTTCAAATTGTCAATGATAGCATTATAGAGGTGCAGTAGCCTTGTAATTATGATGACCAAAAAAGAGAGAATAAAAATTCATCAACTCTGGACGTGGTGGGGCTAAACATTTGCCAATAGATAACGACACTGCCTCGTTATCTGTGAGCTGACAGGCTGTCAATCAAACTCCCTACGTTTCTAGCGTAACTGACTTGCCTGCGCGCCGCCGTACGTGGTTTACGTACGCCTGTCACGCAGTCCACAGACGCAAGCCGCACAGACGCTGTTTACTCCACCAACGCAACAGTTCTTAGCGGCTTTTTTTTACCTATATCTTCCTCGCAGTTCGCACAAAGTTTGTTGCAATGGCGACAAGAATCCAGGAGCAGTTCGCCGCAAAAGAAAGTCCGTTTTTGAGGTCGCTGAAAGAAGAAGACAAGGGGAAAAGCAGCGAAGCCAAACTAAGGTGATTCTTGAAGATTCATTCCAGCGATGGCGCGACTGAAGCAAACGCAGGGTCTAAAGACTGACGCACTGGTCGCCAAATTACTCCTGGACAGGTCACTTCTGCTTATTATGAAAACGTACTTTATTTCCAAGAGCTAGACAAACATTTTTCAGGACACGAAAGCGATATCCTATGTCTGAAAACGTAATTTTCAAGGCAAAGAAAGAGTCCGCTTGCTGCTGCGTGTTGTAGCTCGTTCATTCGCACGGAATCTCCGCACAACCTTCTCTGCACCCCTTTCCTGCTCCTGTCCCCGCTGCCCGATCCGCTCTTCTCCCTGCTCCTCACTTCTCGTCCGCGAACGAAATGTCCGCACACCCGCTCCCCCCGCTCCTCACTTCTCCGCTCTTGCCTAACCAACACTGTAGTTAGTTGTTTACAAGTCATGTGCAGCACCGGCTGTAAACAAACCTGTTTCTGGCGTAAGGAGGAGGAGGGAGGAGGCGTTTCTACGTAGGAGCTCGCATGCGCAACATTTGAAAAAGGACAAACAGTCGCTGGATTTCTCGTTCCTTGGAAAATCCTCTATACAACCTTTAAATCTAAACAAGCCATTATAATAAATGATTTCATGCAGTCAGATGCATAAGACCTCTTGCATTGTACTTTCTTGTATTAACATTGCATTGTGTGTGTTTATTTTATTGTTTTATTGGAGGCCTTGCAGCGTAGGCATTCCAGGCATTGCTCTGTCTGGAATGTTCCACAGTGTGACATTAAAGAGCTCTGCTTTACATTTATTCAATTACACATGGTTTTATTGCTCAAAAATCCCTAGAAAAACAGACATTCACTGTGAGTGGGGTCGCCTCTCCACAGACCTGACCTGTAACTTGGTCTGATTTGGTCTCCATGGAGATAGAAAAGTTTAATGCCACACTGTGGAACATTCCAGACAAAGCAATAACATCAACATGGAGGTCTGCTCTTTATTTTATTTTATTTAATTTTATTTTCTTCTTTTACTCTATTGCCCTTCTTGTTCGTTTCTCCTCTTGAGCTCACAAATTCAACATGTTTTATTAACACACATATAAACACACACTCATGGTTTACTTTTATTTGATTATTATTCTGTTTATTGAATTGTTTCGTCTTGTCTGCAGACTGTCCTGTTACATGAGTCAGTATGTCCTGTTATTCGTGTTTTGAATCTATCATCTGTATGTATGCTTTAAATATATATACCTAGGCCCAAATCCAGGTTAATAAAATGTGAACCAAGTCTTCTTCTTCTTCTACTTCAAAATGAAACAGATGCTCCACCCCAACAGCACCGCCCGAGGAGCAGAGCCGACAGAACGCACGACTACAGCTGTAACATTCATAACACTCATGATAGAAAGAATAACGAGACGCACTTTGATCCAAATACTGTAAAGGGTTTATTTAAAAGCAAGGGTCAAGTAAAAGTACGGACACAGATCTCAAAGCTCCTTCGCGGAGGCTGGAGAGGGAGTGTCTTCAAGCGGCATGCAAAAACACAGCACTTCAGTACCAAAGATGAAAGCAACTACAGAGACAGACGACGGGACAGCTGCCGTACAATATTTAATGACTTGTTTTCTATGATATCAAATAAAAAGTTGGATTTAAATTCTATATTTCTGTAAACGTTAAAAACATGAGTGAAGTTGCTTTGCATTATTTGCTTTCCGATTTCATTTTAAGCCTCAGAACGCACTTGTACACTTAAAGATGCGCTTCTGTTTAAGGGGAAAAACTGTGAAGCTCTCTGAAGAATAATCATTTTACTCTCTAAAGATGCACTGTGTAACTTTTTGGTTGGGGCTTCATCACCTGCTTGTTTCTATGGATATGTCATTGTTCCACAACATGACATTAAACAACTCTACTTTATATTTATTCAATTACAGCTGGTTTCGTGGCACAAAGACGCCCAGAAAAAATTGGAAATGTTATTTGCGTTTCCTAAAATGTTCCACGGTATTTTATGGACGATTAGTCGCTCTGGATTATAAGACGCACTGTCATTAAATGGTCTATTTTCTAACTTTTTTCACAAATAAACCGCACCGGACTTTAAAGGAAACCCAACAGTGTGATGGGTGAGTGGTTTTGTTTGTTTGTTCGTTCACGGTGACTCTGGGCTTTGTTCAGTTGTGGTGTGTAGGGAGGGTGCTGTCTGGGACCACTGGATTGTCGGCGTGTTCACAGTGACTCAGTTGTTCAGTTGTGTCTAGAAGTGGCACATTGCACTCGCTTTTTCAGTTCGTTCCTTCGTTCCGTTCCTCGTCGGTGTGGAGTGATGAGTGTGTCTGTGGGTGTGTTTCGCTGTGTGGTCGCTGTCTGCTCCGTGTGTGTTTTGTGTGTTCTGCGGGTGGTGCGGCTTTGCAGTTTACTGAAGTCGTACTGGGACACCGGAGTGGCTTTGTGTATGGGGCGCTCTGGATTGTGGCGAGCGGATGTTTTTTGATGCGGTTAGAGGCTTAAGAGCGCGTCTAATAGCCCGGAAAATACGGTATGTCATTAAACGTATCTGTCTTATATTTATTCAAATGCAGCCTAAAAACCTTGAAAATAAGTGAAATGCCAGACTGTGGAACATTCTAGACAAAGCAATACTGTAACTTCTCCATGGAGACAAGCAGGTGACGAACCCTTCACCAGAAAACCTACGCATTGCACCTTTAACAGTGAGTATAATTTATGGCTTGTGAAATGAAAAACGCTTAAGTTCGTTGTTTTTTGTATACACACTTTTGTATGTGGTATTTTTAACAATTTAACAATTTCGACAATATTATATTTTTAAATAGTTTTGAAGTGAATATCATAAGTGCACAAATGAAGTGTCCAAATAGTTTCAGCTTGGCTCGGTCCGTCTCTACAAATAGTCTACGGGTAAAACATACAAAATAACATTAAGTTGGGTTCATTATAGCAAAAAAATATCAAAACATAAAATGGCGGACAGGCGTCAGAACACGACTACGTTTTAAAAAGAAACTACTTCTCTATTTAATGCTCAAAGATCATTTCTAGGCAAACGAAGCGATACTGAGATGTCTTGAAGCACCTGAATGCATCAGTCCACAGAGCACTGCGGACACTTCATAGTAAAAAGTAAAAAGAGAATGTGTCATTTGGCGCACTGCACCGTTGGCCTGACGCGAAGCACTGAAATATGAGGTTTGGCACTTGGGACTGCAGGTAGAAAAAGAACATGGCTGTAGGTGCTGGGCAGTGGGGACTGGGTGGGTACATTACCAGTGAAAAGTTTGGACATACAGTTTTCAGTGGTCCCTTTCTTCATGTTTACTACTACTACATTTTAGATACAAACAGAAGACATCAGATATACGGTGTAAAATATACATGGAACTACGTACTACAGAAACTACTACTTCATGAAATCTTTTTTAGATTTTATATTCAAATCCTTTAAGTTTACCTTTGCTTTGTAAACAGTGCTGCAAACCCTTATCCTTCTTTCACTGAGCTTCTTGATGAAGTCTCCTGAAATGGTTTTCATTTCACATCAGGGTCAAGCAAAGGGTGGCTATTCAAAAACCTAAAATCTAAATGAAAAAGTGAATGTAGCTGATTGTTTTGCACTGTGTATGTGTCCATTGATAGTTCTGATGCCTTCAGTGATTCTCTACAATGGAAATAGTCATGAAAAAACAGAATGAAAAGGCCTGTCCAAACTATCGACTGGTAGTGGAAATCGGTTGTCTTGGAGACGGGGTGGTGGTCCTGGAGACGGGGTGGTGGTCCTGGAGACGGGGTGGTGGTCCTGGAGACGGGGTGGTGGGTGGTGGTCCTAGAGACGGGGTGGTGGGTGGTGGTCCTAGAGACGGGGTGGTGGGTGGTGGTCCTCTAGACGGGGTGGTGGTCCTGGGTGTCCTCAGAAGCGAGCCCGGATGCGCTCCAGAAGGTCAGTGTCCCACATGTGAGCGTCCCAGGCCTGGAACCAGCCGGTGAAGGTGGGCGGCTCTGCCCCCTGTTTGATGGTGGTGATGGGGGTCCCTCTGCGGCCGGAGGGGTCACAGTCAACGTACTCTTTAGCTGAGGGACGAAGAGGAGCAGTGGTGTTATTAAAACATGGACTTTATTATCTTAAAATATGAAAAACAGACAAAGTTTATCTTAAACAGTTTGAGGCATTTTCTTGCACTCTAATTATTTACAGCAGTGAATGTTTATAATAATGAGTTTGACAGCATGCTAATGCCAAGCTCGAGGCTGGACTGCACTCACAGAAGCTCATTTCCACTAGTAAATCAAATCTGAGGATATACTGTACTATGCTTTAATCTGGCTTTTAACCCTCTCCAGGCAGACGTTGCAGATTTGCAACAGCTAAATGTCAATTACCTACTTACTCCACATCCATATTTTTTGAGCTTTTTTTACTCAAGAGCCTTTTTTCCCATCCATGCTGATAAACGTGGACGATGCAGACTGTGCAAGAATGTCTACACACAAACGACCTGCCAGAAGTGCAAAGTACTTTTGTTGTTTACAAAGGATAAAAATTGTTTCTTGGAGAACCACACAAAAAAGTGATGTTGTTCTGCCACTGTAAAGCTGTTACACTGTGCTTTATGTTTTCATTGTTATGAAAAGTGGTGAACACATAAAGTCTTCAGTGTTAATTTACCACACCGGGCCAATGTTGCAAATCTGTAACATCCCAGAACACATTGGATGTGAAGGTCTCTCAAAAAAAAGTCAGGACTGTATATTACTACCCCATATGATAATTTTCCCCAAATATCAGATTTTTCCTGTTACTAAAACTTAATTTGAGCCTGAGAGGATTACTCCAGACACCTTTGCAATGTAGTTTTAAATGTTCTATTATAAAATATTGCAAATGTATTCCTATTGAAAACTACCACAGCTACACAGTAGATGTAGTGAAGACTATTTCAGTAAAGAAATGCTTCTTGTTTCCAAAGCTCCAAGAGAACTAAAAGGAGACAACCAAAACTGTACTCATAACACTTTACTCATAATACTCATAATACTCTAATACTAATGATAGTACCAATACTTTTCTGAACCTGAACTCTCAGATGCACAAAGTGAATCCAGCCTGGAGCCTGTACGTGATATTTTGTCCCGAACACCGTCTCGTCCTCGGGGCCTCTGATACAAACCTATTTTTGGAGCTCCAGTCTTCTCCTCGGCATTGGCGTCTTTTCCCACCCAAATGAAGATCTGAAACAGTCACAAGAGACACAGTAAAAAACATTTGTAATCATATATTTCCCAATTTTTCTGACATGGGTACTGCTTGTCAAACGCCAAATCTGGGAACGTTCTCCAAGGAAAGGGACATGGAACTAAACTAATTAACTCATTGTCCTAATTGTTGTGACCAGAGCTTATGACACTGAGAAAGCAGCGTGAAACAAACTGAAAACATTTGAAACGATTGATCAAAATGAGTAACGTGAAGGTGTATGGACTTTAAAAACACAGAAAAGCTCCTTGGATTAGTTGTCTTTTACCTTTCATGTCTTATCACATTATTTCTACATCATTTTAGGAGAAATATAAACACTATACCTGATCCCAAGCGTCCAGGAGCATGACGTCATCTGTGGCCAGGTCAGACTGAGTGAAATCCCCCGGAACTTCTTCAACCTGAGAAATAATCAAAAACCAAAATTATTATTATTTTATTATTATTCCATTTATTATTCCTAACTGCAAACTGCTGCTGGAGACTGACCGAGAGGCGTCCGGTTTTGTTGGAGCAGGCGAACAGTCTCGGAGGGTTGACCACATCGCGGAGGGCCTTGGACGTCTGGTACTCCGCCTTTCCTCCCAGAGTCGACCAGAAATCACCTGAGGGACACAAACACAAACTCAAATGATAAAGTAGTGGGCGAGGGTTTAAATCATGTGTTTGTTTCTCTCTTTGAGTTACAGTTAACATATGTAGGTCACAAATGATACTTTTTCATATTTAAATCTCTCTATGAATCTAACGACAATTATTGAGTATTTTCCTTCACTTTCCTTCATTTGATGGTGCTTTTATTCACAAGTAGGTTAGTGTTAAGAATAAAGGAAAAGATGTAATTACTAAAAAAGACCAAACATGCATGTTTAGGAACAAGTACTACAATAACAAATTAGGCTAATTGTGACAAATACATGGTTAAAGTCATTAGTTACATTACAATATTACTGGATTTAAAATATAAAACATGACACGACTATTGCAGCACTTTAAGTTACTCTCACCAAAATAACTACAAAGATGCGGAACTTCTGCGGAATGAACCAAGACTAAACTGGGACTGAACCGAGGACTGAACCAGGACTAAACCAAAACTGAACCAGAGCTGAACCCGGACTGAACCAGGTCTGAACCAGGACTGAACCAGGTCTGAACCAGGACTAAACTGGGACTGAACCAGGTCTGAACCAGGACTAAACCAGAACTGAACCAGAGCTGAACCCGGACTGAACCAGGACCGAACAAGGACTAAATCAGGTCTAAACCAAAACTAAGGTCTAAACCAGGTCTAAATCAGGTTTAACCAGGACCAAACCAGGACTAATCTTGGACTAGAACTTGGAAGGTGTCGGGTGTCAGCTGCGTTTAAGCCCATGGAGCGTGGAGTTCTGCACTGGTCCTTTCGCCTGCGGTCACCTGACGGTCTACGTGGGCATGTCTCTGGTGTTTCACCGCCGCTGATATCGCAGTGATTTTAGAGAATTTGTATCAAGAAAAACAAAAAACCCACCACTTCAATCCAGGTTAAAAATGCATTGTAACGCGTGTTACTGACATTTGTACACAGTAATTTATTATTATTTTTTTCCCTGTAATGTCGAACATTACTGCGTTACAGGGAAAAGCAACGGATTACAGTAATTTGATACTTTTATAACACATTACTCCCAACACTGTTCTTAGGAACATCACGTTGCTCAAATCCAGAAACTTGGTGGTTAACAAAAGAAGAACACACTAACAGTTCTTAGCAGAACCTCTGTGCACGTACCTGGCTCACGGCCTTCGCTCACAGTCGAGGGGTTTCCTCCTAAGAATCCCACCACATGTTTGGCTGCGTTCATCTCCTCGTCACTGGCCCCGGCTCCTCTCCACACGAACAGAGCGGAGGGACTCTTCAGCACAAACACGTCGTTTGTGTTCAGATTGGACGCACTCGCCTCCACCTGAGACACACACAGGGTCCTCAGAAAACACACTCTCCACAGTATTGTCTCATGTACTACAGTACTGTCTCATGTACTACAGTATCCTCTCATGTACTACAGTATCCTCTCATGTACTACAGTATCCTCTCATGTACTACAGTATCCTCTCATGTACAAAGTAACACAGAGCTAAACAGAAGAGCATGTATGTGTATAGGTGTGTGTATGAGTGTGTATAAGTGTGGGTGTGTGTGTGTGTGTGTGTGTGTATGTGTGTGTGTGTGTATGAGTGTGTGTGTGTGTGTGTGTGTGTGTGTGTGTGTGTGTGTGTGTGTGTGTGTGTGTACCTCGACAGCACGTGTGGCCCCAGATGAGCTCTGGCGGATGTGGAACAGACGGGTGCTCGCCGTCTGGGTCTGTCCTCCTTTCCGGGAGGTTCCTCCGCTGTGGATGATCATGGTCTTAGACTTGAACAGACTCATGAGGTGAGGAGGCTCCTGGCCCTGGGTCACACGCACCTGCACACACAGCAACAAAACACCACCAAAGTGTCATTATATCAAATAAGTAATCATAAGTTGTCTCATTTTAAGTATATTAAAACATAAATTACAATCATTTTAATTCATTGCAGTCACAATATATGTTTTTTTCTAAATTGTCCTAAATTAGTCCTAAAATGTCATCTTATGAAAAAAAATGAATCCACACTGCCCCCTCCTGGTCACAGTTAAAACCTACACCACCTCTTTTTAATAAGTTGTCTACAGTCAGAAGAAGTCATTATTTTAAGTTCAAAAACATGAAAACAAGTGCCAAAAACAACACAAATAATGCATAATATTAGTTGTTTTAAAGCGCACACCTGAACTGGAGCTCCTCCCATAGAGTCGTCCAGCTTCACTGTGAGGAAGGCTGAAGCTGCCAGCTCGTCCTGAGTGCACTTCAGCCCCTGCCTTTAGAAACACAACAACAAACAGCATTTAAACAACAGTGCTCCTCTAACACTCTGATGTGTGTCTGTGTCTCCCTCAGAGCTCACCATGTGTAGATGATGTGCTGCTCGCGCCCTCCCAGTCTGTAGCTGTACAGGATCAGGTAACAGTCTCCACCGTAGAAGTGTCCGTAGGAGGCTGGGTCCACGGGGACACTAGCTCCATCCTCCACCCGAAAGATCTGTCACCCACATCAGAAAGGTTAAACATGCACAGCACATTTGTCCTTAAAGGCACTTTATGTAACTTTTTAGCTAAAAAAAAGAGACTGAAATAACGTGTGTGTGTGTTGTTGTTTTTTGGGGTTTTTTTGTACAGAACTTAGTCTGAATGGGCCTGTCTCTTGTGTCTACTTGGCCTGGAGGACGGCCTTCTCCTACTTGTTTGAATGGAAAACTTATTCTTTTGGACATGATCTTCCACAGTATGAATCTTATCTCCATGAAGAATGTGGTTGTAACTCTCATGTGGGCAGTGTTGGGAAGGTGACTTTTAAAATGTATTAAATTGTACAGATTACATACTCCAAAATGTAGTTTGTAATGTAATCTATTAAATTACTTAAAGTGAGTAATGTAATCTGAATACTTTGGATTACTTGATTTGCTGTAGAGAAGCAAAGACGAGGAAATCTTCACATAAGATGTTTTGTCTGCTAAAAGAAAATAAAAAGCCCAAACTTTACAGAACCAAATTAAAAATATTATTGATAGAAGATGAGGAGACACGGTCCACATGGCATGGTTTAGTCCTGTTAAATCCTGTTTGAGACATAGTTTAGACCTGGTTTTAGTCCTGGTTTAGTCCTGGTTTAGACCTAGTTTAGACCTAGTTTTAGACCTACTTTTAGATCTGGTTTAGACCTAGTTTAGTCCTAGATTAGTCTTGGTTTAGTCCTGGTTTAGTCCTAGTTTAGACCTAGTTTTAGACCTGGTTTTAGACCTGGTTTTAGACCTAGTTTGGACCTGGTTTGGACCTGGTTTAGTCCTAGTTTAGACCTAGTTTAGACCTAGTTTTAGACCTGGTTTAGACCTGGTTTTAGACCTAGGTTTTAGACCTGGTTTGGACCTGGTTTAGTGTCCGGCAATGAGTGGAATTACCGGACAAAAAAAAAAAAAAAAAAAGGGATATAGCCCAAAATGTGAAAACAGGAAAATACCTCTGTGTAATCCATTTATTTCAACAAAGTAACTGTAATCCAATTACCACTCACTTAAACAGTAACTGTAACTGAATACAGTTACTCATAATTTGTACTCTGATTATGTAACTCTGGTACATGTAATCTGTTACTCCACAACACTGCATGCCGGTGACGTGCCACCACCAGTTTTACTCAGGTCAAGTTTAATTGATCTGATTAATGTTTGTTGTGTTTTTTACAGAACATAATGCATTTGGGCTTAAAATTTTTGTATTTTCAATGAATGAAATGAAATCAGTTCCATTCAATTGAGGTTAAAGTCAATAATATACTGTCATTAGAACTAATTGTTGATTGGAGTAGATGTAGAGCAGTACAAGGTTATAGAAATATATGATCATTTTATTTCCAAGTTTGTGAAAAAGCATTCTAAATTCTACGTCAGAGCATGTTTAAGTTGATGGCGTAAAGAGGCAGCCAGTCATAGGGAGAACCTGCAAACTCCACTCAAAATACATATATCCTGAGAGCTTTTTGCTGTGAAGTGACACCACTCACCACTGCACCCCCACAGAGCCCCTCACCTGGACTTTCCCGCTGCCGTCGTCCACCATGCCGTGCTGGGCGGCCATGGCCTTGTTGCTGTGGAGGGAGGAGGCGTCGAAAGGCTCCTGTTTGATCTTGGCGATGCGTCCGATGGCGTAGGCTTTGGAGGGGCCCGTGGTCTGGTCTTTGTCCTTCCAGTCGCTGAAGAACTGTTTGAACAGAGTGGTCTCCGCTCCGGCCGGAAGCACCTGGATCTGTAGGAGGAATGTGAGAATTATTATTAGCAATTCCTACTATTACCTTTTATTTTTTATTTTTTATGTATTTATTTATTATTTTATAACAATACGTGACCTTTTTTTTTTCTTCCCCCAAACCTCCTCCCTTTACCTTACCCAACTATCTTCTGCCATTGTCTCCAGAAAAAAAAAAAATCAATCAATCAATCAATAAATATAAATTAATTAATACATTAAAATAAATTCCTACCATTCCTGCCATTACCAACAGGTCGATCAATAACACTGTGAAATCTGTGAAACTGATGGGCCCAGTCAAGTAGAAGTATACACAAGGTCAAAAATTCAAGTTAATGCATCTGATATAAAAATGTATTGAACAGATACATATGTACTCTAGTTTATGAAACTGTTGACCTTTTTTCTGTACCATTTTTGGTACATCATTTCAAAGACCTGAAAATTATGTAAATAAATGGATGTATTTCATCATATCTTGTGTTATTCCATCTTTGAACTGTTGATGAAGGTACATGATTTTTCCAAAAAAAAAAAGTATTTAAAATGATAAAAATTAGCTTGAAAGGACTGACATATTTTATAGAAATAGTTTCCTTTCATTTTGAAGTAATATTAAAGTATTTGGAAGAAAAAAGCGACAAATGATGTAAAATCATGCACCTTCTACTTGTTTGCACAATTTTCCCTCCGTTACTTTTCCCTCCGTTACCATGACCTTTCTTAATAAAAAATCTCATGAGTCAAAAAGTAAGAGGTTTTTCAACCTAATCTTGTACCATATGGTAGAAAACTATATGAAGCAAATATTCAAACCAGTTTGTTAAGGATATGGAAGTGAGAACCAAGAGTTATCACTGTTTGGATTTATTGCCCAAAAAGTGCTGCATATTTCATTCCCTCCGTTACCGATATGAGTTTTTAAATTTTTTGTCAACAACTTGAAAGAATATCACAGGTTTAACTTGACCCTGTTGGAGTGTAACTCTTTCCTACATTCTGATACTTTACTTATTTCAATAGTTCCTCTAGTTTCTGAATAAGAGACATTTGAATGTCAAAAATCTGCCCCCGTTTCCCTCTGTTACCACTTGACCGGACCCTGATGTAACATTCAATACATAAATAAAAATAGAAATATGTAGTATAAATGCAAATGTGTGTGTACAAAAGTCTGTAAAAAGTAAAACAATGTGTGAGAATTTAGCAAGTAGCCATTTTAATCTTCGGAGCTAAAATAAAATACTAAAACGTATCTGTTTTCTTATCTTTATTAATATATAATCTTTATGGTTTGTTTTTGTTTTTTTGGAGATGTACATAAATGGATGGTACTAATGATGCCGTTAGTTATAATAACCTTGGACAGCAACATACATTCTCATAATATTTGAGTTCACAAACCCACGAAAATCTGTCTTGGCCTGTTCCCACTGGTGCAGCGGGGCCTGGCATCGTGGAATCTTCCAAACAACTGACATACTTCAGCAGTAGTGTTTGTGAAAAATGTGCAGAAGAATGTGCTTTGTGCATTTGGGCAGAGGAAAGATGTGTCAATTGGATCTAACAAAAGTTAAAATTTTAGTTAAAAAATGTTGAGATTCTCGCCTCCCCTGTTTCAAATGTGTCCAACGTGCTGAAACGGGCCATAGCATTTACCACCTTTCTGGCCCGAAGGCTGATTTTACTTAACTGGAAACTTCCCCATCCCCCGACACATCTTCGCTGGGTTCGTAAAGTTATTTACAATCTTAAACTTGAAAAACTGAGGTTCTTCTCACTCAGAGGCTCTGTTAAATTATTCCATGCTACCTGGGACCCCTTTTTACATCACATTGACTCTTTAACTCTTCCTCAGGATCTGGAGGATGTCTAAAGTATAGGAAATAACAATTCTTTCTCTGTATTCTTTCTTTCCCTCTTTTTTTTTTCCTCTTCCTATCCCATGTTTTTCACCTCTATGAGCTCCTTTCCTTCTTTCGCATCCCTACTTCTTACTTTTTAATTTATTTTTGAATTAGTTATATATTTTTTTATAATAATTAATAATTGATAACTAATTAATCTATGTATTAATAATTATTCATATTTAATTTATTTACTACTATCAATTTTATTTACTTAATCATTATTGGTATTAGTATTATTACTATTTTATTTTGTATTTGTTTTATTTTAATATTATTATTTTGGGTTGTTTGGCCAGTGGTGGGGGGTGGGGGTTGTTGACATTCAGATGTGTCCTCTTTACTGTCATATTTATAATGGTACTATTCAATACAGTGCACTCTGTTTGTTTGTTAATGTTAAAAATGTTCAATAAACAAAGTTGGGGAAAAAAAAAAATTGAGATTCTTTGACCAATCAGCTGGAGTATTCAAACATGTCGATAGCTTCTGATCACTTTCACACAAAACCATCTCAGACTGATAAATATGTAGAATTCACTTCATAAGGCTACACAACTTGACCTATTGTGATTCAGGTTAGGCCCTAGTGCAGTGGACACAACACACAACACACACAATGTTACAAAATGAAATATGGATGAAAAATTGACACACGAACACACACCACATCAAAACTGGAACAAAACAGGACTAAACTAGGACCAAACCAAGTCTAAGTCAGGATTAAACTGGGATCAAACCAGGACCAGACCAGAACAAACTCTCTGGAGCAGTTACCTGAGTCTTATGGGAGTAGCCTTTGTCCTTGATGAACTTCTGTCCAGCTGACATGGCCGCTTTACGCTCAGACGTGTTTGCTTTGGGACCTGATTAAAACACACAAAAACACATAATCTACACATTTTTAAAAGATCATATGACAGATATTATTCAAGCAATAATATTAACTTCCAATTCAGTTGGGGCAGTCAGTTGAGTGTGTGACTCATATAAGTATCTTGGAACACTCATTGATTCAAAATTGAGTTTTGACGATATTTGTTCTGCTGTGTGTAAAAGAGGCACCAGCGCCTTCACTGTCTGAGAACGTTTTCCTTTTACCGTGTAGACAGAACCATGATGACACTGTTTTATAAAACATTTATGGAATCAGTTTTAACATTTTCATTGGTCTCGTGGTTTGGGAGCGTCTCTGCTAAAACAAGAACTCCCTGAATCAGTCGGTTAAATGGGCGAGTAGGTGATTGTTCATCCTCAGAGCCGCTGGACTCTCTGGACTCGAGACACTTACAGAGGATGTCCCAGAGGATTTTAAGAGACGTGAAACATCTACTAAACTCAGAGTTTCAACTGCTTCCTTCTGGTCTGAGGCTTTTAGTCCCAAGATCTAGAACAAATCGTTTTAAAAGGAGCTTCGCTCCAGCTGCTCTCGTACTTATGAATAAATTGTAATCTATTTATCTAAGATTGTGTGTTTTTAACATACTTAATATTTATTGTGATTTTAGCCAAGCGTAATGGATGAATTTAATAGTTTTTTTATGGAACAAACCATTCTGCACTGGAGCACTGTAACACTTTATTTTGTAATTGTGTTTTTATGTGTGTCTTGTGGATGAATGAAATGTGAAATGTGGGAGCTGCCTCTCAAATCTGCAAAGTAAATGTACCTACGGGTACGAATAAAGCGACCTAACCTAACCTAACCTTCCATGTTCATAGTACTTTCTGCGGGAGAAACAGTGTAGTAAAACTGTTATGTTTTATCTGAAATGATCTGAACATTCAAACACTGTTGACATAGAAGTAACAGAATTCAAAGCGTGATCATATTTTAAGACTTTTGAGTGTGTATATTATTACACACCATTTGTATACAAAGCATGTACAAAAAAACACTTAAAACTAGTAGCCTATACCAGGGTGACTATATTTTGAAAGAGCAGGCCTAGTGGCAGGAGTGTGTAGTAACTCTTGAGTGAATATTTGTTTTTGAGGTGAAGAGGAGCTGACCCTTCCACACAAAGATGTTTCTGTCCACGCCGTTGTCCAGGATGTAGCACTCCTCAGCAGAGAGCATGGCCTGTTTGAAGGGGCTGGAGGGGGCCACCACGGAGACCTTCATGGACCCTGAAGCGTCAGAGATCTGGGAGGAGACAGAATGACAGTAGAAACATAGACTGGATATATAAATGGATGTAGCTAACCTGCGAGCGTCCATGTTTCAAAGAGGAAGTGAACATGGGGGCGCTTTCGGTTTGATCGACTGGCTCCAGTTGACTTTACATTTAAAAATCATCGCCCCTCTGTCTGTAACTGCTGCTGTGAGCCTCGTCATTTTGGTTTTAAAAGGTTCGTATTAACCCACTCTACAAGATCCAATCATTTTACATTTGCTCTTCTGTCCATTAAAAATCCCTGTTCCTAATATGGAACTCTGCTCCAAATATGCTCCTATAAGTGCTAACCTCTGTGAGCTTCATTTGACTGGAGCTGAACGCTACGTCCCACTGCCTTACTCCACTTCTTTATACAGTCTATGAGTATGAATCATGTAAATGGTAGAGGGTAGAGCCCTGTACCTGCCGGACCCGACGCAAAACAGTTTTGAAAACTCATCGCGGGCGCGAGCGTGAGTGGGACTACACCACGCGGGAGTGGGTGGGTGGGATGATAAACTGCAGTCCCACAAATTAAATATGAGTGTAAAGTCAAATATACAAATAATGAATGTAAGAATATCATGCATAATTTGTGCTGGATATTTCATTTGGCATTAATAAAAACATTTTAAGCAGCCTAAATTTGCGTATGTGGTCTAATCTACCCCCCTCCCATACGCCACGTGGACCATCCGACTGACCCTCCTCGCATACGCCACGTGGGCTGCACCACTAAACCAGGACTAAACCAGGACTAAACCAGAACTAAACCAGAACTAAACCAGAACTAAACCAGTACTAAACCAGAACTAAACCAGAACTAAACCAGAACTAAACCAGAACTAAACCAGAACTAAACCAGAACTAAACCAGTACTAAACCAGAACTAAACCAGAACTAAACCAGAACTAAACCAGTAACTAAAACCAGAACTAAACCAGACTAAACCAGAACTAAACCAGAACTAAACCAGGACAAAACCAGTACTAAACCAGAACGAAACCAGAACTAAACCAGAACTAAACCAGGACTAAACCAGGACTAAACCAGAACTAAACCAGAACTAAACCAGTACTAAACCAGAACTAAACCAGAACTAAACCAGGACTAAACCAGTACTAAACCAGAACTAAACCAGAACTAAACCAGAACTAAACCAGGACTAAACCAGAACTAAACCAGAACTAAACCAGAACTAAACCAGGACTAAACCAGGACTAAACTAGAACTAAACCAGAACTAAACCAGGACTAAACCAGGACTAAACCAGAACTAAACCAGGATTAAACCAGGACTAAACCAGAACTAAACAAGAACTAAACCAGGACTAAACAAGGTCTAAACCTGGTCTAAAACAGGTCTAAAATAGGCATAAACCCAGGACTAAAACAGGATTTAGCCAGGATTTAACCATGCCGCTGGCCCACCCACCGTGCCTCCTCCCATACACAGCCCCCCCCAACTCCCTCCGGTCCGCGAAATATTGTCTGATATAAAACCAGTCCGAAAATGAAAATTGTGCCCCGCGCAGACCTCTAGTAGGGGGGCATGTTTTCAGTAGGATATATTAAACAAGCTTTAATCTAAAGTGCTGATAGAAGTTCTAAACCACATTTCCTCATTAACAACTCAGGACTCTTGTTATTGGCTTTGAAATATGTTTTTGAGTAACTGTAACAGTAACTGCTGTGGTGTTTCATGTTTGGAAAATGTCCTAGTTATAGAAAATTCTCATTATGTTCCATCAGATGTGCTCCATATGATTTGGTGCTCGCCATCTACTGGCAGCAGAGGGAATGACAGAAGGGCCTGTATTATACTGTTTCTGATCTATGTTATAATGTTGTTTCCTCATCAAAAACAGAGCTGGAGTTGTGTTTGGTTTCATTTACACACATTTAACACACAAACCCTGAATATTTTGAGAGTACTGTGTTTTTAAAACTCCACACACCTTCACTAGAATCATTTGGATGATTTCAGACTAATAATGAACACGTGTGAATAAAACTAAACACAAGTCCAGGTCTGTTTTAAAGCTAAACTAAAAGCTAAAAGCTCACAAGAGTCAGTTTGGTGTAATATAGGACCTTTACACAACTCAACAGGCATTTTTGCATGAAAGCAGGAGTCATGAAACAAGCGTGAATCACACTCCAGGTATGTTTTTGATGAAGGAGCAGCATTATAATATAGTTAAAACAAAGAAACTAAAATTTTTGTCGTTAAAGTTAACTAGAAACTACACTGGTAAACATAGGCTCTATTCTAGGGTGACCAGACGTCCCCATTAATCCCAGTTTTGAGCCTGTGTCCCCTGTCCCAGCAGACTTGTCCAAAACCATTTTGATTTGTCCAAGTTTTATAGGCGAGTTTCATTGTTGACAAAAGCGCGCGTTGCATGCTGGGAATTATTTTGGTTGGTGGCAAGAAACACTAATTCAACATGACGGACGGAGCGAGAAAGCACGTAAAGGGTATTGATCCCGGTTATTTATCCACTCTAACGGCAGAGGACCCAAGACCATTTGACCAGAAATTGGTCATAAGCATCGACGGACGACAAATCACCCTTTTCAACCCCTACAAAAGGTGGACCAAACCACATTTCTGGTCAGAATCACCAACTACCTGGACAAATATTCACTTTGGTGATATCCACAATGACTTGGTGGAAACTCCTGGGCCATTCACAGCAGAAAAGATGAAAACCTCCAAGAGTCTCGATGTGTTGTTGAACTTGTTGGAGTCCACGGTTTGTTAGGATCTTCTACGTTTGCTCTGTGAATGTTTGAAAGTTGTTTAATTCACCGTTGTCGGTTCTTTTCACTCGGAATACGAAAAAGACATTTTCCTTCTTCAGTGCTTCTATTTGTGCATCCGATAATGCAGCAGGAATTTACCATTATCGGGGATAAAAACACAAGGTTATTTTGTGTGTTTCTTGCCTCCGACCAAAATATTTCCCAGCATGCAACGCGGGCTTTTAATAACAATGACGTCAGCTGAAACTCGCCTATACAAGAAATGTCCCAGGTGTGCCTATTTTTGACCAGTTTGATCCCTGCCAACAGTAAAGAGAGACATAAATTGTCATTTGTTTAGGTCAAATACAGAAAAGCTGCTTAAAAATGACCAAAACACAAAGAAAATGTGACTATTCTGACTCACATGGGCCGAGCGCAGAACAATTTTCCTTAATTACACACTCCTTTCACAATTTTATTACTGCCAACCAACCCAAACCGGGAGTGTCGCAGTTTTTGTTTTTGAAAATCTGGTCACCCTGTTCTATTCGCGCTTACGTCACAAACCCGGAAGACGTTTGGAAACATGTGGACGATGAGTTCCTTTGGGCTCCGCTGGCGATGGGGAGGCAGTTTTCTTCATCTAGATGTCATTGTATTCTTTCTTTTTTCCTTTAATAAATTGCTTATTAATTTGTGTATTATAATTTGTGTAACTAAAAAAAAAGATGTCATTGTAGCGTACTCCTGCACACTCACCTGGAAACGACACGCACACTTCACTACAGTTTAGAATAGGTTCATTTAAAGGGGCATTGCGCAACTTTTCTGGTGGAGGGTCCGTCACCTGCTTGTCTTTGTGAAATTGGTATTGCTTTGTCTAGTTCCACAGTAGAGATTAAACCTATCTATCTCAATGGACACAACTATAGGCTACATTACAGGTCAGATCTGTGGAACGGCGACCCTATTTACAGAGAGCATTGTGGTATTTTTGAGAAATAGAAACACCATGGAACACTGCAGGCAAAACAGTAAGATCTCCATGGAGACAAGCAGGTGATGGACCAGAAAAGTTGCTCAGTGCACCTTTAAAATAGGTTAGGTTTAAGGTTGTGTCAAGGAAGTTTGAGAGAGGTGCCCAGAGGAGGGACTTGTGAGTCGTGACTTGGACTCGAGTGAGACTTGAGTCAATGTTGTTAGGACTTGGGACTCAACTTGGACTTGAAGGTCAATGACTTGGGACTTGACTCGGACTTGAGGCATGTGAGAAGGCTTGATACTTCTCACGTGCTATATATGTTTTTAGAAAATACTTTTCTCTTTTTTGTTGATAAATGCAGTGTTTAATTTTACTCCTTTTTATATAGAGACTGTACCAGGTCACTCGTTCTGTTAACAGAGGTGGGACCAAGTCGTTGTTTTGCAAGTCTCAAGTAAGTCTCAAGTCTTTGACCTCAAGTCCGAGTCAAGCCCAAGTCATCTGCTTTGAGCTTCAAGTCATTTCAAGTGTTTAAACCAAAGTGCTGCTTAGATTTTTTGAATTTTTAGAATTTCTGACTTTTAAACTAAATTGTACTTAACATGTCATGGTATATTTCTATATGAGTATTTATATACAGTGTTGGGGAGTAACAGATTACATGTACTGGAGTTACGTAATCAGAGTACAAATTATGAGTAACTGTATTCAGTTACAGTTACTGTTTCAGTGAGTGGTAATTGGATTACAGTTACTTTTCTGAAATAAATAGATTATACGGCGGTATTTTCCCGTTTTCACATTATGGACTGTATCCCGCTTTTTTTTTTTTTTTTTTGGTAATTCCACTCATTGCTGGAAACTAAACCAGGTCTAAACTAGATCTAAACCAGGACTAAAACCAGGTTTAAACTAGATCTAAACCAGGACTAAAACCAGGTTTAAACTAGATCTAAACCAGGACTAAAACCAGGTCTAAACCAGGTCTAAAACAGGACTAAATAGGACTAAACCAGGACTAAAACCAAGTCTAAACTAGAGCTAAACTAGATCTAAACCAGGTCTAAAATCAGGTCTAAACCAGGTCTAAAACAGGACTAAAACACTATTTAATGGGTCTCATGCTGCGCAGACGTGTCTCCTCTTCTATCAATAATATTTTTAATACGGTTAAGTAAAGTCTGGGCTTTTCATTTTCTTTAAGCAAACAAAACATCTTGTCTTGTCTTTGCTTCTCTACAGAAAATCAAGTAATCCAAAGTATTCAGATTACGTTACTCACTTTAAGTAATTTAATGGATTCTGTTACAAACTACATTCTGGGGTATGTAATCTGTAATCTGTAGGGGATTACATTTTAAAAGTCACCTTCCCAACACTGTTTATATAAGAGTATGTTCGGCAGATCAACAGTTAAAACCAGCTGCCTGTAACTGACACTCAAGATGCGATTAGTCACGTCCCCAGTGGAAAGCTTTGGCAGGTTTTGAAGACCGCTGCTGCTGAATCCACGCTTTTATCACCATTATTATTATTATTTTTGATCCATGGCTTTATCCACATGCCCAGTGTCAGTAACTACACCAGAAATCGTCATCCGCATGTTTCCAAACGTCTTCCGGTAAGCCTGAATAGAGCTTATTAAGAGGTCGTTTCTGCGCTCTCCTCCTCACCATGTAGAGGGCGCCCTTCTTCCTGTTGGACACCTCCACTTTCTCATCGTCAGGAGAAGCAGGAGCGATGCAGGTTTTAGGCCCCAACACCTGCAACATAAAAGGGTTTATTTAGTGATGAATGTACGTAGTGGAGGAGGAGGAGCCCGTAAGCATAGTCAGACACTCTGAGTACCTCATATACTGTGTACTGCTGATTCTTTAGTAATCATTAACACATTAACTAGTTTATTGCCAATTAAAACGTGCAATTTGTTGTTTTAATGATACGTATATCCAAACAATCGCACATTGACATTCTTAAAGGTGCACTGTGTAACTTTTCTGGTGGAAGGTCCATGCTTTTCTCTGTGGAGATGTTATTACTTTGTCTGAAATGTTTCACCCCAGTGGAGGAGTTAGCAATTTGGAAGTCTTAGGTGAACTTGAGTTTGGGGCCCTCACTATAATGCACCGTTTTTTGTTTTTTTAAAATATATATTTATGATTGTCTGTTTTTCCTCATTGTTCTTGACACATGCACATCTCTATTTATTTGAATTATTGTGGATTAGAAACTTGTCTTAGTTCGGTCGCCTAACCAGAGCAGAAAGCAGTTTTTTTGTTGTTTTTTTTTTCTAGTACAATAATATTTTTGTTTACATCCATTGCATATGATTATTATTATTTTTCTTATGATTATTGTTTAAAAGTGAACTACTTTCATTGTCATACTGAGTAAATCAAATTTCTCTAAGACCTTGGCCATTAGTGGCGCTGAGGGCAACTGACTGGGGGCCCCTTCAGGTTTGGGGGCCCTTGGCAGCGGCCTACTTTTGCCTTATTGTAGCACCGCCTCTGTTTCACACAACGCTATTAATCCTTTCTATCTTCATGGAGATAAAACAGACCAAGCTACAGGTCAGATCTGTGGAGAGGCGACCCCTTTCACAGTCAGAATGTGTGTTTTTCTAGGTATTTTTGAGCTAAAAAAAAACACTTGTAACTGAATAAATGTCATACTGTGGAACATTCCAGGCAGAGCAATGACATCTCCATAGAAACAAGCAGATGGACCCCCAAACAAAAAGTTACACAGTGCATATTTAAGTATATAACATTTACTAAACACACTATTTTATATTGAGAAACCATTCCATTCAGTTCCTCATTTTCTTTAAAATCTGAAATCATTCCACATATGTCCTGGCAGCTGCTTGTGTCCCCCACAGGTCCCTGGACTCCTGGTTGGAAACACAGGACAGACAAATAAAACTGGACTCTAAAATCAGAGTCTAGTCAGAACTCGTGCAGCTTGTTATAGTTTTCCTATAGATGACATACTCATTATATAATCTCATTTTAAACTCGATCACGTCAGTATTTTTCCAGACTGCTCCTTTATAAACGTGGACCATGTGTGATGAAGTTAGTTAGTTGTTCCTGGAGATACACAGACACAGTGAATACATGAGTGTGTGGCTCTGCTTCGTGACTCCACCTGAGTGAAGGCGTCCGGCTCGTCTCCCTCCTCCACCAGGTGAAGTTTGGCTCTGCCGTTCCTCTCGTTGTCACGGATACCGATGGCCACCTCCGACGCCTTGAGCCTCTCGTAGCGATTACACTCACTGCCACACCACTGGTAGATGTCCTGAGAGCAAAGAGTACACAGATTATACTACTACTGTATACTACTATACTACTAAATAATACTACTATATATGACTATACTACTATATGATACTTCTATATACTACTACTACTACTATCATATATTATTACTACTACTACCACTACTATATACTACTACTACTATATACTACTACATCTACTACTATTATATATGGCTACTAGTATTATATACTATTACTATAATATGCTACTACTACTACTACATACTACTACTACTATTATATCCTCCTTCTCCTACTACTACTATTATGTACTACTCCTACTATATACTACTACAACAACTACCACTATTATATACTACTATTACTACTACTACTACTACTACTATATACTACTACTACTACCACTACTATATAATACTACTACTATTATATCCTCCTTCTCCTACTACTACTATTATGTACTACTCCTACTATATACTACTACAACAACTACCACTATTGTACTACTCCTACTATATACTACTACAACAACTACCACTATTATATACTACTACTACTATTATATCCTCCTCCTACTACTAGTATTACAAAACTACTCCTATTATATACTACTACTACTACTACTACCACTACTACCACTACTACATACTACTAAGATATACTACTACTACTACTATATACTACTACACCTATTACTACTATATAACTACTACTACTGTTATATCCTCTGACTACTACTATTATATACTCCTCTACTATATACCACTACAACTACTACTACTATGATATACTCCTACTACAACTATTACTACTATTATATCCTTCTACTACTACTACAACTATTATAAACTACTACTACTATATACTACTACTACAAACATGCACCTGGGATATAATTATAATTTACACAAAAGTTATGACTAATTTATAAAAAAAAAAAAAAAAAAGCACCTTTATTTTGTGAAATGAGGTGTTTAAACTGACAGAAAAAGTCTTGTTTGTGCAAAAATAGTCTTAGATTTTGGATGGACTCTTCTTGTTCGTGATATAAGTACTATTTTGTTTTAGAAATCAGCGCTACTTGTATTTTTGACCTTTTCTTCTCATCTTCTTTTTGACAAACTGCCACTTAACTGATGTAAAACCATGAATAATATTTACCACAAGGACGTTTCCACCAAAAGTGAAAGTAGAAAAACGTGTCTTTAAGTTGGTTTGGTCTGGTTTGAGGCTTGGGTTTGGGTTTAGCCTCTTCCTCTTCTCTAGTTTTTATTATTCGCCAAAAATATGAATAATTTTAGTTGAAAATATCGACAAAAATGTATATAATTTTAGAGACAGCTTTAGACAGAACACTAACAAAAACTATGACGAAGCATTTTTGTGGACGAAATGAACACTGATGGAAATCCCTGCAAAGTGGAAAAAAGGAAGGCTGTAAAGTAATATAACAGGCCAGTTTAGTGTTTGGATCAATTTAAGTCATAAAACATGTCATGACCCTGTTTATAATGATCAACAACTTCCCAGAAGATCGTCTACTAAGAAAACAAAGAGAACATGTTTTATCACTGTCCACTAATATTTATACAGTAAATTACAGACATTTTCTTTTTTCAGTTATGATATTTAAATACACTGAGTGAAGTTGATGTTAGGATCAGTCTTCAGGAAATGAACAGAAGACAAGAAGCATCAAAACACAATCTCTGTTACTCTGTGTGTGCATGCGTGTGTGTGCGTGCGTGTGTGCGTGCCTGAGTGTGTGTGTGTGTTTGTGTGTACAGTGAGCATACCTTCCTCAGGTCCAGTGTGTGTGTGCGTGTGTGTGTGTCTGTGTGTGTGTGTTTTTGTGTGTACAATGAGTGTACCTTACCTGGGTTCACTGTATGTGTGTGTTTTTGTGAGCATACTTTACCCAGGTTCATTGTGTATGTGTGTGTGTGTGTGTGTGTGTGTGTGTGTGTGTGTGGGGGTGGGTTTTTGTGCGTACAGGGAGGTTCATTGTGTGTGTGTGTTTGTGAGTACAGCGAGCGTACCTTCCCTAGGTCCAGTGTGTGTATGTGTGTGTGTGTGTGTGTGTGTGGCGGGGGTGTGTGCGTGTGTGTTTTTGTGTGTACAGTGTACCTTCCCCAGGTCCAGTGTGTGTGCACGTGCATGTGCGTGTGTGTGTGTTTGTGCGGACAGTGAGCGTACCTTTCCCAGGTCCAGTGTGTGTGTGTGTGTGTGTGTGTGTCTCTGTGTGTGTGTGTTTGTGCATTCAGCGTACCTTCCCCAGGTCCAGAGTGTGTGTCTGTGTGTGTGTGTGTTGTTTGTGCGTTCAGCGTACCTTCCCCAGGTCCAGTGTGTGTGTGTGTTTTTTGTGAGCATACTTTACCCAGGTTCATTGTGTATGTGTGTGTGTGTGTGTGTGCGCGAGTGTGTGCGTGTGTGTGTGCGTGTGTGTGTGTGTGTGTGTGTGGGGGTGGTTTTTGTGCGTACAGGGAGCGCACCTTACCCAGGTTCATTGTGTGTGTGTGTTTGTGAGTACAGCGAGCGTACCTTCCCTAGGTCCAGTGTGTGTATGTGTGTGTGTGTGTGTGTGTGTGTGTGTGTGCGTGTGGCGGGTGTGTGTGTGTGTGTGTGTGTTTTTGTGTGTACAGTGTACCTTCCCCAGGTCCAGTGTGTGTGCACGTGCATGTGCGTGTGTGTGTGTTTGACAGTGAGCGTACCTTTCCCAGGTCCAGTGTGTGTGTGCATGTGCGTGAGTATGTGTCTGTTAGTTCAGTGTACCTTTCCCAGGTCCAGTGTGTATGTGTGTGTGTGTGTGTGTGTGTCTGTGTGTGTGTGTGTTTGTGCATTCAGCGTACCTTCCCCAGGTCCAGTGTGTGTGTCTGTGTGTGTGTGTGTGTGTTTGTGCGTTCAGCGTACCTTCCCCAGGTCCAGTGTGTGTGTGTGTGTGTGTGTGTGTGTGTGTGTGTGTGTGTGTGTGTGTGTGTGTGTGTGTGTGTGTGTGTGTTGTGCATTCAGCGTACCTTCCCCAGGTCCAGAGTGTGTGTGTGTGTGTGTGTGTGTGTGTGTGTGTTTGTGCGTTCAGTGTACCTTCCCCAGGTCCAGGATGAAACAGTCTCCTCTGTTGAAACAGGTCCATTTCAGGTCGACCTCGGTTGCCCGGACGACCCTGCGGCCTTTGATGTGCAGCAGCCTCTTCACGTCTGCGCTGTTGGTGACCACGTGCTGGAACCCCGAGGCCACTCCCCCTCTCTGAAACACAAAAATATACTGTTTTATTATCAGAGCTCGGATGTGAGGAAGACAGAAGTTAAGGTTAGAGCAAAAAAGTACAAGGAGAAATCCAAGGAGCAGAGGAAGGAGTGAATTTTGTTATGCAGTTTCTAGTGGTGGGTTTGTCAGATGTTTTTCTCCATGGAGGTGTTATTGCTTCAACTAAATGTTTCACAGTATGACCTTCAACTTTTCTATCTTCAGGGAGACCAACCCAGACCAAGTTACAGGTCAGAGCTGTGGAGAGGCGACCCCACTCACAGTCAGAATGTCTGTTTTTCTGTTTGTTTTTGAGCTATAAAATCACCTGTAACTGAATTAATGTAGATCTGTTTAATGTCACACCATGGAACATTCCAGGCAGAGCAATGACATCTCCATAGAAACAAGCAGGTAACAGACCCCCAACCAAAAAGTTACACAGTGCATTTTTAAGTATGCCTATTTTACAAAGCGTCAAAATGATGTCTACTTAAATGTGTTGTTTAAAAGTTCAAATAGATTCCAAACCAGCATTTAAAAGTGCAATAAAAAGTATAACACAATTTGAACATGTGAGTTCAACTGCACTATAGTTGTAATTACATGATCTTATCACAATGGTTCAACATGAGGGGTGGGGTCTTTGTCTAGTCAGAAGATCTGCTCTTGTAAAATGTTTATTGTGCAAAATAAATCTTAAATTTAAAGGGCTTAAGGGGTTTCGAGAAAAAAAGATGAGAAGTACTGCATTATAACACCTTACTATAAGTCTAGGGGTCTTGAACTTTAACAGCCACATCAAATCAATAACATCTGCAGACTTTTACCATCTAAAAACACAGCAAAAATCAAAGGTTTACTGTCTAAAGCAGACTTAAAGAGACTTATCCATGCGTTTGTCTCCAGTAGGTTAGATACTGTAATGTTCTGCTCACTGGTCTCTCCAAACGAGCTGTGAGACGCTGCAGAACATCCAGAACACTGACTCGAACTAGGAAGTACGAGCACATGCGTCCTGTGCTCAGGTCTTTGCACTGGCTCCTGTGGCTCAGAGACTTTAAAGCAGCTCTGCTTGTACAAGTCTCTCCATGGACGAGCACCAAAGTCCATCTCTAACATGTTAGTGTCATATGAACCATCTCACACTCTGAGGAGCTCAGGGACCGGCCTCCTGCTGGTGTCCAGAGTCACGACTAAACAAGAGGAGTCAGAGTTTCAGATTCATGCAGCTCAAACCTGGAACAGTCTGAACATGTGAGACAGACTCAACTTTGACTCTGTTTAAATCCAGACTCAAAACAGTTCTGTTTAACTGTGTCTGACTGAAAGGTTTTCATTCTGCACTCTTCTCTCTCATTTATGTAATTAATGTCTCTCTCTTTTTTAATTTTAATCTTTAATTTTGTGATGATTATTTATGTTTTGATTTGTATTTTTTGGTGATTTTTAATTTTTAACTTTTTATTTATTCAGTTTTTCAAGTTTAAATACAAAAACAAAAACTTGGGGCACTGTTCCGGTGTTACAAGGATACAGAAGTCAAGTCTCTTTTTGTTTATATTTCTACCATTTTGTCCAGTGTTTAATGAAGAAATGTCCTTTGAGACGTAGAAAAAAAGTATATTTCTTCTACAATGTTGAGCCACTGATTCACTGACAGTGGGTTCTTTTTAAGCCAGCTTCTTGTTATTGCTTTTTTTTTTATGCTAAAGTCAGAATCTTAAAAAGGTGTCTGTCCGCTTTGTATTTATTGTGATTTTAATGTCTTTCTTATTCTGTAAAGCACTTTGAATGACTTTGTGTATGAATTGTGCTGTACAAATAAACTTGCCTTGCCTTGCCTAGGTCAAAGTGAATCTCTAAAACATGAATGAGGATGAGACGGAGAAAAGGAGAGAGGATGGTGAGTCACAGCACATCACAAGCACAAATACAGCTCCAGCTCATAAAGCCTCCAACATCTATACAAGTCTATATAGGGTTGTATAAGGTGAGCGTATGTTCTCGGTCTGGAGGACAGTGTGTACCTTCAGTCTGAGTGTGTCTCCCAGTGTCCCCTCCTCATGAAGCCAGTGAACAGAATAAGCAGCATCAACAAAAGCAAAATCAACTTGAAAAGTTGAAGACATGAACACAAGGCGAGTGTGCGTATTAACTTTTATATAGATCATTATTTACATAAAGGCCACTATGTGATTTTTTTCATGTATTTGTGCCAAGTCCTGCGCTGTACAGATATATTGTAAAAGCAGCTCCTGAGGTCAAAATGAGTTCAGTGTCTAATTGCAAAGCGTTTTATTGTCAGACAATCAGGAAGTACGCAGTTAGCATGCTTGTTGTGTTATGAAAAGTAGAGATAAATCGCTATATATTGTATAACGTTTTGGTTGGGGGTCCGTCACCTGCTTGTTTTTATGGTTACGTCATTGCTCTGCCTGGAATGTTCCACAGTATGACATTAAACTAGCCTGATTCATCAGCTGATTTCACTTTGTAGAAACAGTCTGACCTCGCAGCGTTAGGATTTGTTCGCTCGACAGTAGGAGGGTACTTTTTATTTAACCAGTCATAGCTATTTTGTCGTGACGTATATAATGCTCAGCTAACAGGATTGACTGGTATATTAAGCTTTTCCCAAATCCTGTAGGAAGAAGAACAATAATGTCTTTCCCCTTGATAAAATTCACCAAACATTTTCTTTGTTCCGGTTTTAAATCCTCGATCTCGGGAATCATTGCAACACAGAATGTCTGGCTCTTCGTTGATTGGCTGGTGCCTGAACTCACACTTCCGGGTTTTTGTGAACCGTCTAGTGTATTCTGATTCCTGATCTACTCGCTGGAGTGAAATGAAATTGAGCGGAGGCACTAGGTGGTGTCAGCCTTACTAACATTAAACAGCTCTATGTAACCCGCATTTGAGGCACTTTTATTGTTGCGGGTCAATTCCGCTTTACTGATCTGATATTGCGCAATATTTTGAGTTTATCGGCCTCTGCTTGGGCATGTTTGATAACTTTTTTGATTTAAGTGCATTTAATAATGATTAACTTAATTGTGATAATCTTACTGAATTTACTTTACATATTAACTTACTGAATTAATTTAATAAGTTAACTTATTAAATTATAAACTTAATGACATATTGATTTATTCACTTATTGACTTGAATTCACTTACTGAATTGAATTTAAATTGTGATTAATTGTATTAATTGTTGAAAATGGTAACCTTTATGAACTTTTTGGGTCATTAGTCAATGACTACATTTAATTTATTTAATTATTATTTATGTATATTATGAACTGTTCACTTATGAATACTTATTATATGCTTGTATGTTTATGCATACATTGACTTTATTTTGGGTTATTTAAGACCTATTAATGTATTATTTAAATGATATTCATTTGTGTTTTTTTGGCCTTTTAGGTCAGGTTTTTTTCCTTATGGACTGATCCAACTCCAGCTTCCCTGAAATTCTCAACTCAACTAGAAACCGATTGATGGCGATCTTACCCAGAACCTGAATTTAGATTAACTTGGATAAAAATACCAAATAACTGGACTGTTTTTTATTCTTTGTTTTTTATTCTGTTTTTATACTGTTCTTGTTGTGATCTGTTAAAAAAAAAAAAATCTTTTCAATATACTTCACCCAAACTTCACATTCCTGTCTGTCTCTTCATTCACACTCAGGCTCCTAAAAGGACAATCTTCTGATGCAGCCTTAGTGGCCGTAGTCTGCCTCTAACCCTAACAAATTTGCGTTACATCTACTTTACATTTATTTAATTTACACGTGATTTTATAAATCAAAATACCCACAAAAACAGGCATTCTGACTGTAATCAGGGTCACATCTCCACAGATCTGACCTGTAACTTGGTCTGGTTTGGTCTCCATGAAGATAGAAAGGTTTAAGCATTTGACGGACTCTCCACCCGAAAAGTTACACAATGCAGCTTTAAATCTGATATTTTTTTTTGCTGCCTAAAAAACATAAAACTAAAAAAAAGTTGTATATATATATATATATATATATATATATATATATATATATATATATATATATATATATATATATAATCAGCCCTTTATATCAGTCCAAACATATCAGCAGAGCTGCTCTGGATTGTAAAAAATCGGAGTAGAAATCAGCCATGAGAAAAAGTACTTCTACTAACTAAACTCATTGTGGTAAATAATCAGGATCCTCGAAATGCATAAGAATAAGTTTGAAATAACTTTGAACCACTTCAAACTGTTTAAGATGAACTACTTTTTTAATACAGTAAAAACCTCGTACTCGTACAGCACCGCAAATGATTTGTGTCTGAAAACATGTTGAAAATCTAGAGTCCCATTGTTCATAGTCAGTCTATTGTTAGCTTGTAGTCTCTTGCGAACATGTGTTTTCGCCCCGAGCCACTCACATACCATCCATCTTGTTCATCTTATAAACTTTTCCATAGCAACTCTCCCTCACTGCAACGGACGACTAGTTTCTGACCTAAACTGTGAGCAGACCAGTCTCCTCTGCTCCTCTGCTCTCGCTGTAAACAAGTTCTGAAGGAATAATTATCTTTAACTCAAACCAGGACTGAGCCGAAGTGGTTTACAAAGCAATGGGAAGCAGATGTGTGGCAGGAAACAAGCTGGAGCTATATTGGTCAATCAAAATGGTTGTCATGGCAGCAGGTAGTGGTGGTAGCAGCAGGGGGTCGGTCAGACACGCCTTCGGAATTAAACATTGAACCAGCGTGGGCCACAAGTACTTAGGAGTCATTGGTGTAAAACAGTGGCAAAGTCCAGCTAATGAAGGTATTTATTAACTATGGAGGTGTGTTTAGGTCAAGAAGATGACATGAAAAAGTGTGATGTGTCACCTTCAATACCGTGTGTAAAAAAAAAATTCTCTCTGGAATGAGCAAAGTTTATATTTTAACACTGCAGCTAATAACTGACTCCATTAATTATATACAGTGTTGGGGAGTAACAGATTACATGTACTGGAGTTACGTAATCAGAGTACAAATTATGAGTAACTGTATTCAGTTACAGTTACTGTTTCAGTGAGTGGTTGGGCTATATCCCTCTTTTTTTCTTTTTTTTTTTTTCCCCCCCGGTAATTCCAGTCATTGCTGGACACTAAACCAGATCTAAACCAGATCTAAACCAGGACTAAAATAGGACTAAACCAGATCTAAACCAGGACTAAAACCAGGACTAAGCCAGGACTAAACCAGATTTAACCAGGACTAAAACCAGGACTATACCAGATCTAAACCAGGACTAAAACCAGGACTAAACCAGGACTAAACCAGGACTAAAACCAGGACTAAACCAGGACTAAACCAGGACTAAAACCAGGACTAAAACCAGGACTAAAACAGGACTAAAATAGGACTAAAATAGGACTAAAACAGGATTTAACAGAACTAAATCCTGCTGTGTGGATGTGTCTCCTCGTCTTCTATCAATAATATTTTTTATTTGGTTCAGTAAAGTCTGGGCTTTTTATTTTCTTTTAGCAGACAAAACTTCTTATGTTACGATATCCTCGTCTTTGCTTCTCTACAGCAAACCAAGTAATCCAAAGTATTCAGATTACATTACTCACTTTAAGTAATTTAATGGATTCCGTTACAAACTACATTTTGGGGTGTGTAATCTGTAATCTGTAGGAGAATACATTTTAAAAGTCACCTTCCCAACACTGATGATATATTCTAAAGGCTGCCACATGCTACAGGATTTTCCGGCCTTAGACAATTTTTAAACGTGCGACAAAAAGCGCACATCACAGACACGAGGAGAATCTTATGAGACTTAAAATCTCTGATCACAAAGACTGCAGCGGGATCTGTCTGTGGACCTCAGGTTACACAGATGTGAGTGCACCTTGTGTCTGTTGTTTCCTGTCGACAGTAAAAGCAGTCGCTCTTAGACTCTTAAGTGTTCAAAGATCAGACTCTGCACTGGCACACACAAACTAAGTTATTATTTGTGAAATGTGGAGCAATGCTTAAGATACATGACTTTTAATGCACAGAAGGCTGGAGGTAAAGTCCACAGGAAGTAGAGTCTCGATCTCTACTGTGCAGCTTCATCTCGACGCTTCAAACTGGATTCACAGTGCTGTTTTGTGGACTGGGAGTCATTATTTGCGGAGGACAAATTCTATGGATAATGTGGACGATGCTGCACTTTAAATCTACAACTTTACGAGAGTCTTCTCATTGTTTTCGCCGTTTTCTGAGTTTGTATGTTGTGTCTCTGTGTCCATCACTCCTCTGCCCCTGACGCTCTGTTTTATTGTCTGTTGTCATAGCGTTGTTGATCTTTGGTGGTTATGATCTGACAGAGCAGCTCAGAGTCACACACACGAGGAGCGCAGCAGCTTCAAAATCGCACAAGAAGACACAAAGTCGGGTCACGCCTCCTCAAAATCAGGGAGAAGCAAATCGCAGCCAAAATCATGCAAATTCTCCATTTGACAGATATTTTCTTTTAATGTGAATAAACAACTACCTTAGAAATTACCCACAAAATCCGAAAACATATAAGACTGCACAGCGCGCCTGAACTCATCACACCAGTAGAACCCGTGTGTGTGGAAGGAGCAGTGATGTAAAGTTTGCAGAGTATTGACTGTTCTGCATCAGTGATGAGTTTGTATGGATCTGAACCAGCTGCTCTTTTCACGCTTAAACACATACACCTGTACATCATGGACACTACACCTGTGGTATTACCTGGTATCTGATGCCGGTCTTGAAGTACCCCTGGAACGTTCTGGACTCACAGTTCTGCACCTCTCTGTACTGCACAGGCCCGCCCCCCAGGAAGTCATCCAGCTGAGTGGCGAAGATGGCCGCAGCTCCACTCTCGTCCTGGGAGCACTCATCTCCTGCAAACACCATGTAAACATGTTTAGTATTCTTTATAGTGCTGTCAAGAGATAAAAAAATAAAATAAAATAAAAAATAAAAAACATCGAGAAATTAATTAATTATGATCTGTAATTAATTGATCTAATTAATCTCTTTTTTAAAATCTCACCTAAAAATTGCTGAGAAAAGCTCAACTTGAGGTATTTTCATTTAAATTCATTATTACATTATTGCGGCAGATCAAAAGACTGTGACATTTATTGTTTAACAAACTTTAACAGATGCAGTCATTTACATTCCTCTGTGTTCTTTTGTCAAACTCTAAATAATTAGAAAATACAAATAAAATAAAACATTAGGTTAGAGCCCTGCACCCGCAGGACCCGACGCAAAACAGTGCAGCGCAGGACACATTCTGAAAGCTCATTGCAGCCCGGGCGGAACGAGACTGTATGTGTACCGATGTGTGAGTGGGCTCGTGGGATAATAAACTATAGTCTCGCAAATTAAGTATGAGTGTAAATTAAAATATACAAATGATTAATCGTACATCATTTGTGCTGGATATTTTATTTTGGCATTAATAAAAAATAAACTAATCGGAGAAGAGAAAAAAAATGCTCTTGTGCGGTGATGTGATTCAGCTTCTGTTGGACTAAAGGACACGGCTCAGTGGAATATGAGTGTTCTTTCTGTGACAGAGGGGTGTTCTGCTGATGATGGTGAGTCTGTGTCGGAGATGTTGTATGTGTGCAGGTATATCGCAGATGCGGGAGGGAATGGGAATGAAAATTACAATTCTTGGCGGAGCAGGACTGTGTCCCAACAACACATAAAAACTGATTTTATAATAAGGCAACTCGCATACAGAAACAGTAAAGTTAGAGATTAAAAATGAGATTAACACGATTAAAAAACATAACGTGCTAAATATGACTGTAATTAATTAATTGCAATTAACACAACACCCCTAATTCTTTATTATCTCTTATTTAAGATGGCACCTCCTAATGTTTGAGGAAATAGGCATTAAACTTATTTATCTCCATGGAGACAAGAAGGTAACTCCACTAGGCCAAGTTACAGGTCAGATCTGCGGATAGGCGACCCCACTCATTATAAGAAAGAATACATGTTTTTCAAGGTATTTTAGAGCAGGTATTGATACTAAACGTTACAGAACAAGTATAAGAGCACATAGACTAGTATACGCCCATGGACCACTGACAAATTACACAGATATGAGACCACGTGGCAAAAGAAAATAAAGTACTATTATATAAAGGTGTACTGTGTAACTTTTCTGGTAGAGGGTCCACCACCTGCTTGGCTTTATGTTGATTTTTCCTGGAATATTCTACAGTATGGCATTTAATTTAACTCTCCATGTAGATGATCAAGTTACACGTCAGATCGTTTGCAGAATAGTAATAATGCATGTTTTTGTTTAATGTCATTGTAGCACTTGTGGTGGGATAAAGAGGCTTCAGAGAGTGTATATTTACTTCCATTTAATGCTGTATGCACTGAAACACAAGAGACACATTTATGATCACGCTAGTCGCGTCCAGGCACATTTTACAACTAGGACCTGCGAGGCCCCCCCTGAGTTGCCTTCCCCTGCCTGCGTGCATCCCCAGCATATCTCCTGTGTATAATCATATCTGTTTCTTGTGTGCATAAAATATAAAAAATAATACAATTTCCTTTAAACAAATTTGGTTTAAAATAATAAAAAAAATAAAATGAGGTGGGCGGTGCTTTCTACTTCAGTATCATTACAGTGCCTGCTTAATACTATTGGTCCCACACCATACTGTGGAACATCCCAGGCAACGCAATAACATCACCATGGAGACAAACCAACATCAGAAGTTATAAATTGCATCTTTAATGTTGAAAATCACATTCAATTATCAAAATATATAGTGTTTTTATCGTCATCGTGGCAGAATCGGTATTGAGTATCGAGTCTGTTCCTTAGTATTTGAAATTTGAGTATCGTGACAACACTAAGCCCTACTCTAACTCTTTTTTTTAAGCATAAATCTGCAATGAACTTCTTGGCTACGACCTCACATGACCCCTGAGTCACACATGTCCCGAGTGAATCATATTAAACCACATTAGAACTGGCTCCGCTCCACACACAGGGAGAGACTGCACCAAAGCAAGACTTTCACCAAAACAACTGGAGTTTTATACTAAGTTATAAAATAAGTTATAAAACAGTGTTCGTGTGTCAGTTATTCTACTGCTTTTAAATGATTTTCTGTAATAAAATGAGACCTACTGTGAATAAAAGAAGCAAAAATTGATACAGAAGTAGTTTAAATATGACAAAATGCAGTCAGCAAAAGCTTGTTGTCAGCTGCTTTGCCTGAAACTTTTCACAGTGCAGCTTTAAAGGTCCTATGTTACGCAAAACTGACTCTTGTGAGCTTATAACATGGTTTAATGTTATAATGTTGTTACCTCCTCAAAAATATAGATTGAGTTGTGTTTTGTTTTACTCATACGTGTTTGAGTAACTCTGTATTATTAGTCTGTCTACATCTCCAAAGCTCCAAATGTTCTTTTCCGCCTTGTGACGTCATGAAGTGGTCATTTTCAAATTAACAGCTATAATTTACTTTTAGTTCAGTAGAAATTGGCAATTCCAGACCTGCAATGATCCAAATGATTTTTGTAAAGGTTTATGGAGTTTAAAAACACAATGGAGCACTTCCTGTATTACCGCATGACATCACAAGGTGGTGTTTGTTTGTGTGTTAAACATGTGTAAATGCAACAACACACAACTCCAGGTCTGTTTTTGATGAAGACACAACATTAGAACATAGATAAACATCAATAAAATAGTGTAATATGGGCCATTTAAATTTACATATCGTCATGGAAACAAGCAGTAATTTTACAATTGTGAATAATCCATGTGTCATTTGTTCATTCGTGTTTCAAATAAAACCAAAAATAAGAAAATGAAAAAAACAACAATTTTCTTCATTATTTGTCTGATAATGATTAGTTTTTTCATTTTTTGATTTTGTGTTTAAATGAATAATGGAAAAAACAGATAAAGGCCATTTCCCGTTTACATGACTTAAACTGCAATGCCGAACTATTGTGCCACATATGGACTGAACCAGGACTGAACCAGGACTGAACCAGGACTGAACCAGGACTAAACCAGGAGTGTCGGAATGGCCCGGAGGTGCGCCCACGTAGACTGATCAGGACCAGGACCAAACCGGGACCAGACCAGGACTGAAACCGGGACTGAGACTGGGACCAGACTGGGACCAGGACTAGGACTGAGCCAGGACTGATCCCAGGACTAAAACAGGACTAAACCAGGATTGAACCAGGACTAAACCAGAACTGAACCAGGACTAAACCAGATCCCAGGCTGGTCCCAGTCTGGTCCCGTTCTGGTCCCAGTCTCAGTCCTGGTCTCAATCCCGGTCTCAGTCCTGGTCTGGTCTTGGTCTGGTCTTGGTCTCAATCCCGGTCTCAGTCCTGGTTCGGCATCACAGTTCAAGTCACGGAAACAGCTGTTATCAGTTTTTAACATTATTCATTTATACACAAAATCAAATCATTATCTGTCTTTTCATTTTGGTTTTAGAGACAAATAATGAAGAAAATAGTTGTTTTTTCCTTTTTTAATTTTTGGTTTTATTTTGAAACACGAATGAACGAATGACACACAGATTATGTATGTCTTTTTGCATTATTGTACTTTAAACTTGTCAAGAAAATTTGACAAATGAGAAAAAAAAAAAAGTTCTAATGAGACTAAAACAACAGATGATGTCACTAGGCCAAGTTACAAGTCAGATCTGTGGAGAGACGAACCTGCTTCTCATAAGATTACATGTTTTTCTGTGTATATATATATATTTTTTTATATTTTGCAGCAATAGACATCCTATTTGCAAGAGAGATACATTTAATGCCTTAATGTGGAATATTCTAGGCAAAGCAGTAACTATCTCCATGGGAACCAGCAAGTGGAAAAACCCAAACCAGAAAAGTTACATAGTGCATTTGTATTATCTTATATTAAGCAAAATTGACTCTTGTGAGTTTTAAACCATGTTATAATGTTGTTACCTCATCAAAAACAGACCAAGAGTTGTGTTTTGTTTCATTCATAATTGCTTGAGTAACTCTGCATTATTAGTCTATTTACATCTCCTAAACTTAAACCACCTTGTGATGTCATGAAGTAGTTTTTAATGAGGAAACAACATAGCATAGACCAGAAAACAGTGTACTACGGGCCTTGAAATATCTGATTAAAACTACTAAGGACTCAGTGTCATATGCTGTATATATCTATAGTGATGGCAGATCTTATATAAATACTTTCTGGACTCGGGTTTGTACTTTCTGTCCTCGGCCTGTTTTGTGGTTCTTAAAGGAAAAGTGCTTGTGGCTCTTAAAGGGATAGTTCATGTTTGGCAAGAGTCTTTGTTACGTAACAAACATGAGTCTGGGAAACTCTCTCCTCCACCCTTTAATTTAAGGATTAGAGCCGGTGCAGCCGTTTGTGCAGGTCCAGGCTCAGCGCACAAAGGGAAGTGCGCAGCACAGCAGTTGTGTAACATGTAAAAGTACACACAATATAGTGCACTGAAACAGGACTGCCACAAAATCAGGCCAAGCTCAATTAGAATTTACAGATTCAAACAAGTTGTGCACTTTTTGGAGAAGGAAAGAAGTGGTTGGTGTTTGCTGCACTAAATGGATCCTGGTTTGTCTATAAAGTCACTCCTGCTGTAGAATATTTCATAATACTGCTTTAGTTTTACATAGTGCTTCTCCAGACACTTTCCCTTTTAACCCTCTCCAGGCAGGCGTTGCAGATTTGCAACAGCTAAATTCCAGTTACTTTCTTACTCCACATCCATATTTTATGAGCTTTTTTTACTCAGGAGCCTTTTTTCCCATCCATGCTGATAAACGTGGACGATGCAGACTGTGCAAGAATGACTACACGTAAACGGCCTGCCAGAAGTGCAAAATACTTTTTTTTGTTTACAAAGGATAAAAAAGTCAGGATTGTATATTACTACCCCATATTATAATTTTCCCCAAATATCAGATTTTTCCTGATACTAAAAATTAATTTGAGCCTGAGAGGGATAAATAATTTAGTGCATTTTTCATTCTCTCCATACTCACTGGTTGTAATATACTTCTCAATCCAGAGCAGACTGAAAGAAATGAGGCTGCCAACCTGCAACATTGGCTCCTCCAACCGCCCACACTGATGACATTTGTATAAAGCCAGAATGACAGTTTCATATCAGAGCCTAACCCAGGAACTAACCAGACCACCAGACCCAGGCCTCTCAGTTTCAGAGACTAGACGAGATCAGGCTCTGACAAGGAGGTTTTATCACGTCAACAGTGCATTTTAGGCCCAAGAATAACATAACCTGACTCACACTAGACTGATATGTGTATCACTCTGAACTGAACTCTTCACTCCCTCACTGAAAGCAATCGGGGATTATCAAACCTTTGTTAAACAGAGATCTTCCCTGTCCACAAATGCACTATGCACTTACCTTCTGCACATTTTTCACAAATAAAATAGCCCCTATTTTTGCTAAAACAGGCTGAAGTCATCTTTGTTTTGGTTTGGGTGCTTCACAACCACATTGCTGCCATCTAATTGGTCCAAACTTCAACCACCAGTGACCAGGCTCTCCCGCAGCAGTGGGAGCAAAGATGGATGCTAGAGTGTTTGTGAACTCACAAATATCACGAGAATCCATTTCGCTGTGCAACATTAGGAATAACACACATTTGAGAGAATGTGTTTTGTTATCATAAACATCATTTTGTCATATTGTTATTAGGGTAAGAGCATTCAAGTCTTACCAGCAACTATGGGCCTTTGGCAGGGACTAGTCATTCACTTTTGTTGAATTTGTAATAACTTTTTTTTACTACTGTTTATAGCATGTCTTTAAATATTATAAACACCTGCAGTATAAATGCATTTCTACATGTTATTTTGACACGAGCTTAGGGTTTTCAAACGTCACTGAAAACCCACAACAGACGAAGAAACAGGAAGGAACATGTCGCCACGGAGATTGCACGCATCTCTCAGATATGTCTCAACACACACACACTTTATCACAGTATGGCCAGTGACTCATGTCAGGACAATGTTTGGGTATGTTTGAATTTGTGCTTTTTGTGCTTTTTAATAGTTAAGCTGCAAGCATGATACAAATACTGCAAGCAGGATATAAAATGTAAAACTGGTTTATATATACAAAAAATGCAGTAGTGGAAGAACTACTATTAGTAAGAAGTACTATTAGTAGGGGGAGACAAGACACAATTTTCACGAGACACACCACAAGATTTGACAAAGATTTTGACTAATTTGTAAAAATTAAGTAGTGCAATCCATTACACAATGTTGGCTTTATTTATTTTATGTAATACTTTAGCAGTCTTTGTAGTACTGCTTTGTGGAACTACAGCTTCTCAAATTGTGTAACTCACCAGCTCTTAACTCTGTTTTCTGTCCAAACCAAATGTAAATTCAGGGGGAAACAATCTCACAAGTTAATTTTTTTCATGTGTGCACAAGCTTGTGGAGTTTTGTCTCATGAGTTCTTGTTGCACGAGATTTTGTCCCATCCCAGACTATAAATAACAGAAATTAAATAAATGAGGTCCTAGGTTCACTTTACGCAATTTACAGGGTGCTTCTTTGTGTAAATTGCATGTTCTTCCTGTGTCTGTGCAGGTGTCCATGGAGACCACAAAAATGTGGTTGAGGTTTGCCCATAGAAGTGCACAGAAGTGTAGTCACAGTGGCTTAAAACTTGACTTCTGATCAATGCATGCAACTTCAGGACAAAAAAGCATGATCAAAACTTACTTTTAAGATTTAGAATACCCAAAAGTAAAGATGCACTTTGCAACTTGATGGAGGTTTAATCAGCTTATTTTATACATGTAGATTTTATTACTTAACCTTGAATATTCCACAGTATGGCTTGAAAATATTGATCCTGCTATTATTCAGTTACAGGAGTTTTACATTCTAGGGAAAACAATAACACAATAAAACAATAACGTAACAATGTAACAAGCAGGTAACCACCAGAAAAGTTACACATTGCGACTTTAAATATATTCTTGAATTGAGATTGCTTGATATGAGTTTTTAATGTAAGATGGAGTTACCGACTGCAGAATCTACAGCAGATAATTATTTCTGATGATATGTTTGGGTTGATATATAGAAAAAAAGAAAAAGGAAAGGGGGGCAGATAACATAAGATTTTTTCTTCTTTCTGCTCCTTTTCATTCATTTCTTGTGTGTTTGATGTTGTGACACTGTCGACGTCTTTTTATGCTTTATGAAATGAATAAATAAATAAATAATAATAATAATAATAATAATATATAGAGACAATTTTTATTATTTTCCTCAAATGATGTCAATTCAATTTATTACAAAGTCATCCACAGCCATTTTTAATAGGAGAGCACCGCCCCAGCTATCCAGATATCAATACTTATCTTATATCAATACTGATATTAACCGATACCAGTGTAGGAATGAAAAATGTCACTTATTTCCTTAAAACAGTGAAATTATTACACGTGAGATCAAATTGTGTTCTGTAACTGTTATTAATCCCACTGAACAGGTTTGTGTGAATAAAAGTTCAAACATTATGAGACGTTTTAGGCCAAAATCTGCCTGTAAAGAGTCTTATTATATCCAATTAAAGGCCCAAACAGGATATGGACTGAACTGATATCATGGAACCGATAACCGATTCACAGGAAGGAAAGGAAACACCCAAACCGTGAAAAAAAGCGTGACTTATACTCCGAAAAATACGGTAATTATATAACCAGTCTCTTGTTGATTTTATTGCTACTTATTTATTATTTTTATCTGTTTTACTCTTTGTTATTATATTCTATTGTGATGTGTGAGCTACTGTGTTCACGTCATTTTCCTTTTGCATCAATAAAGTTTGTCTAAGTCTAAGTGAAACCAGTGCTATGGTTTTGTTCATTACCGATCCACATGTGAATGCTGTAGGAGGGGAGCGAGGTGGTGTGGAGAAGCAGGTAGGCGTCTCCGGTGTAGAAGCTCCCGTGGAGGGCTTTGGGCACGGGCTTCAGGTCCAAGTTCTCAATCCTCCAGATCTGCAGCCCGGCCTGCTTCCCCGCGTTCGTGAACTCCTTATGAGACACCATCCTGGATCTGCAAGGACACACAGACACCATCAAAACAACGCATTAGAGTCAAGACCAGGTAATAGGGTTGTCAAAAGTATCAAAAATCAGGTACTAAACAATAATAAAACTAATACTGAAACTAGATACACATTTGAACAGGTATTAATACTAAAAAAAGTCACATTCACAGGACAGAAGTGAACCTTTCCTGAATAGCTTTAGAATGATCTTGAGTTGTATCAGAAGTTGTTATTGCACATAGAAGGTGTTATTGCACATAGAAGGTGTTATTGCACATAGAAGGTGTTATTGCACATAGAAATTGTTATTGCAGGGTCACATGGTACTATAAAAGAAAGATGATTTATGATTTAATGCTGAAAATAAAGAAAATATTTTAATAAAAGTGTTTAAATAAAGAGTTTTTTTCTTTCTTTTTTTAATCATTGTGGTATCGGATTTGGTATTAATTATTGAGTCTATTCTATATTCAAATTGGGTTTAAAATTTTACACACACTATGAGGCCAGTTTAATTTCTGGTTCTTTTACATGCCAGTTTTCAATGCACCTTTTTCCTATTTATTATTTATTTTTCCTATTTTTTTTTTATCTCTACAAGAGCTGGAATCCAAATACTTGTATGCGTCAATTCTTCTTGCCACAGGGAGTCAGCGTCAAAGACAGAACTAGACAGGTGTTCCTCACATTTACTCAAATGTACAATTTTTAAGTGAATAAATTAGTACCAGAAACCTAAACAGACACAAGCAGAACATTCAAACATGTCAAATTTGGGCTCTGAATTTATGATTGACAAGCAGATTAACCAATCAGAGAAATGCATAGTCCATTTGTGTCAGAACAACATTTATGAGAAAAAAGAAGGAAGACAGAGAAACAGAGAATTGCACAACTGTGGTGAGTTTATGCAAAACCAAGGATTATGCAGAAAGCAGAACTGAAAGGCAAATACAATTTTTTCTCTCTCAAATCTTCAGCTAACTCATTCTACCATCTCCTTTCTGCTGTTGTCACATATAAATCTTTAGTCAGGCTGGTGCTACCTAGTGTCTCTACTTAATTTCATTTCTCTCCAGCGACTAGGTGAGGAATCAAAATACACTAGACGGTTTGCAAAGTTTGGGCACCAGCCAATCAGCAATGAGTCAGACATTCTGTGTTGGCAACAATTCCCGAGATCGAGGATTTAAAGCCGGAACAAAGAGAATGTTTGGTGAATTTGATCAAGGGGAAAGACGTTATTGTCCTTCTTCCTACGGGATTTGGTAAAAGATTAATATACCATTTAAGTTTTTTTTTTTTAATGCATTTATTTTGGGCAAGTAAAGATTTACATTCATATACAATGGAACATATAACATAAGTGAAATCATAATAGAAATGAAAATAAACACAAAAAAAAAAATAAATATATATATATATATATATATATATATATATATATATATATATATATATATATATATATTATTATTATTAGTTAGTAGTAGTAGTAGTAGTAGTAGTAGTAGTAGTAGTAGTAGTAGTAGTAGTTACGTATTTATTTATTTTTTGCCCAAAAAGGAGTGGGAAGAAGAAAACTTATTTAATCTCACCCCTACTCTTCATAATCTAACACAATGAGCGTCTTTTGTGTTTTTCAGACATTTTTCAGACATATTTTGTTCTGAATTTGTGAATATTCAAGAGGAGATGTCTTTCAAATTTAAGAGACACAAATGAACAGCAGTGACTGAACTGCTCCAAAACTGGGCGGCTGTTTGACACACTTATGGTGTGGTTCAGGACACTCCTGCAATCAAACAGAAAGTACATTATAAATACAATAAAGCAATAATAGTTCGAAGTAATTGTATGTAATATGTATTTGTGACACCCTTGGATCATTATGTTATAACTTGGACCTTTTAAATCACAATATTGATCTAAAACGACCTAATAAAAGAAACTACAGCTGATTTAGTCCTGCTCCTGCTCACTGTCAGCTTTTAAAGTGTACAAAAATATACTGAAGAAGTACATTATAAGTATGTACAGACTGTTAACAGGTATTTGTTTTTATTGGAGTTGATGGAATCCAACACCTCCCATTCCATTCATTCAGAGAAGTCCTGAGCTCTTCTAAGTACAGGAGTTGGTCTCTGGGCTGAACCAGTCTGACGAGCTCCAAGGTGCAGCTACACTTTTGCTCTTAAACCTTTGCTCTAACCTGAGTCAAGCCTGAGACACTTTCTATGAATTTTAATGATTAATCTAAGAATTTGAATCCATTTCTCAGTATACATCAGGGATTAAAGAGCCTGTTTTACACATGTTAGAATGCCATGTTTGAATGTTGGAGTTGTGTTTTGTTTCATTCACATGTTTACGGTGTCGGCGGCAAGGGGGGGGCATTTGAGGGCCGCGCATTTTACTTTGGGCTGAAGGCACAAACTTTAGCGCCCAGACCAATGACATCACAGTCTCTGTGTATTTAGTGTCGTCTGATTGGACAGCTGTTCTGTCACTCACGTCACGTCAAACTGCTGCGTCAACTCGTAGCAGTTTCACGATTAGCGGCAGCTGCTACTTTAGCTTAAAGCTCCACACAGGAAATGATGAGAACAGAACCAAAGACCCGACCTGACAGACCCGCCGCCGGGACCCGGGGCTGTCGCTACCGCTGCTGGGACATTCGCCGCCGGGACCCGGGACTGTCGCCGCCGGGACTGGGTCAGTTGCCACCGGGCCGGAGCTCTCGCTGCCGCCGCCGGGGCCAGGCAGAGGATAAAGTCTATCCGCCTTTGCCCGCTCGTTTCTGGGTGTAAAAGTTTGTCCTGGGCGTAGCGCAGAGGCAGAAGTCCACCTGGTGTCCTGGTGCTGATATGGACTGGTGGAACTTTCACATTTAAGGAGCAAGTGGGATTAAGACTAATTTTACAATCAGCTCGTGCACTCGACTCCCGGACCTCGCGTCAGGGACCTGACTGGACCAGGATTTGGACCAATTTGATTTCAGAACCAGAGACAGAACCAGTGGACAGAGGAAACACTCTGCTTCAGTCTCTGGAGAAGGTAAGAGGCTGGTTTTCTTTAGTTTGCGGTAAACCTGAACATGGAGCGTCACAGGTAAATAGTGTCATAGTTAAATAGTGTTCTAGTTAAATAGTGGGTAAATGAGCTGGTGGGTGTGATGGAGCTGCTCTGGTTGTTCTGTCGTGTGCTGTAGGAGCGACATCTGTGTTCATGTTGTGATCGTAGCCTCTTATTGTAGTTTTGTTGACGTTGTTGGTCTGGGTGTGAGCGGCGTGTTACGTTGTGTTGTGTTGTTGCGTAAAGTTTTCGCGTGGCTGTTCATTGTGCTCTCATATAGTTCAGCCACTAGTAACCAAAATATTCATAATATATATTTATAATTTTGGTCTTGGTACCCCTCCCAAAAATTATACCACCATTTAAATTTTATTTTATTTTTTTTAAATATCTCACATCAGGAGAAGTGTGTGGACGGCGTGCCCTCGCGTACCACGCTCACTACAGACCTGGTGCTCCCCGATTTCTTCTTTCAGTGATGTTGTTCAGAGGTGTTTTTGAGGAGAGGCTGTTGTTTAATGTTTACAACCAGGGGCAGGCCTTATTGTTTTTTTAATAAACCTCAGCCTTTTATTATTGTCTTGTGTGCGTATTGTCTACCACACAACCTCAACAACTATTGCAGCTAATAATAATAATATTAATAATAATGATAATAATAACAACACATAATTAGCCTAATACTGTTTAAGAACAACGTGTTTGAAGCATTTCTGCTGTGTATGACTCCACCACGTTAAAATGGCTCAAATGGCACTGCCCCCCTGCTGGTGACCCACGCCCCTCCAGTAGATGTGCTCTGACGCACACTCTGATTTGAATCCATTTCTCAGTATACATCAGGGATTAAAGAGCCCGTTTTACACATGTTAGAATGTCGTGTTTGAATGTTGTAGTTGTGTTTTGTTTCTTTCACATGTTTAACACACAAACCCTGCACATTTAGGCTGAGTTCTTCTCTCAAACTGAAAACACTTTAAGCACATTGTTCCATCTTGTGCTCCATTGTGTTTAATTTCAGCCTTGGAATTTTCCATTTCTACTAAACAAAAGGTAAAAGACATCTGTTAACTAGAAAACTACCTCTTCATGACATCACAAGGTGGAAAGGAGCATTTTGAGCTTTGGAGACGTAAACAGACTAATAATAAAGAATTACTTAAACGTTTGAATGAAACAAAACACAACTCCAGGTTTGTTTTTGAGGAGGAAACAACATTCTAACATGACTTGAAGCTCATACTATTAGGTGCTCTGGATTATAAGGCGCACTGTCATTAAATGCTCTATTTTCAAACTTTTTTCACAAATAAACCGCACCGGACTTTAAAGGAAACCCAACAGTGTGATGGGTGAGTGGTTTTGTTTGTTTGTGGCGTTCACAGTGACTCTGGGCTTTGTTCAGTTGTGGTGGCGTGTAGGGAGGGTGCTGTCTGGGACCAACGGATTGTCGGCGTGTTCACAGTGACTCAGTTGTTCAGTTGTGTGTAGAAGTGGCACATTGCACTCGCTTTTTCGGTTCGTTCCTCCGTTCTGTTCCTTGTCGGCGTGGAGTGATGAGTGTGTCTGTGGGTGTTTTTCACTGTGTGGTCACTGTCTGCTCCGTGTGTGTTTGTGTGTTCTGTGTGTTTGCGGCTTTGTAGTTTACTGAAGTCGTGCTGGGACACCCGAGTGGATTCGTGTATAGGGCGCTCTGGATTGTGGGGCGCACAGTCATTTTTTGATGGAGTTGGAGGCTTAAGAGCACGTCTAACATCCCGCAAAATACAGTAATTTTTGTCAATATAGGACCTTTAAAGCTTTGTATCCAGTTATTTTTCATGTATTTGAGTAACATATGTCTTGCCTCAGGTAGGGGTGTGCAAAAATAGTGACATATCGATATATCGTATTGTTTAATGTGATTATTATACAGTATCAATATCATGGG